ATATTTCTCAAAAACCATTGCAACGTCCTGATCTGATTTAGTTAAGTTTGTTAAAACTTAACTGGTAGTTTGAATTGCGAGAGTTGACCTTGCCTGTTTCACTATTAATTATACTCCAGGTCATTGTAACTTTATTAGAAGCCATCTTAATTTTTCTTGCTCAAATACAAAGACTTCGCTATGGAGCTCACTCTTTTAAATATTTTTGAATATTTTTTACACATTCCCTAAATTCCACGCTAGGATTATATGACCTTTCATTGTAAAGTTCATATAACCTTTATCTACTCTTATGGATTCCTACTGTCGCCCATTCATTGAAAGCCTTACGATCGTTCAAGGATAATTTTCATATAACCAAATATTTAAAATACTAGTTTCTTCGTAGTTTGGCAACATCTAAAATGTATTATCAAAGGAACGGGCAATCCCAGTGTTTAAATAAGAATAATTCGCCTCCAGTCGCTCTAATCTTGTGGAATTGCTAAACATCACCTGTGATTTTAGCAATTCTATAAAAATGGAGCTGGGGACATATAAATGTGTTCCTCGGTCCTCCATGTAGGAAGGTAGGGTCGCTTAATCTGCGACATAAAGACCCCCTTTCGAGTCTGAAACATATCGATACTCGGGTACGTCACGGAACATCGACATCGATGAGGCGGTTATGAAACAGTCAGAACTTAACTCCCTTGATAGAAAAACCCGTACTACTATGACGTCCCATAGGATGCATCACTCGGAAACGTCGAAAATGAGTCTGTACTTGCCGCGGGAACACGATGAACGATACTACATTAGCTCTGGGTGATGAAGAAGATTACTCGAGGTTTTTTTATAGAATAAGGGTAGCAAACGAGCACATCCGAGTGATCCATAGAAATACACATCTAACCTCGATTGAGAATCAAAGTGCAGATGTACTTTCACTCCTGAAGACTAAAATAAATTGCCTAGTTTCCATTAAAATGGAGCTCTGGTTCTCGACACTCACCATACGAAACAGCAAAATGTGACGGCTTTGACAACAAGTTATAATTAACAGGAATAGCAAAAGCTCTCTATGTTTCTCAACTTCTTCCTGTCAATAAAGGTTTTCCTCAGGGATCTATTTTAGGTCCTTTGTTATTTATCATTTATTGTCTATGATATATGGTACTTGCAGCTTTCAAGGTTTTATATTTATTGATATAACAACCTGTCTTGAAAGCTGCAAATACCATCTTTATGTTGATGACCTACAGGTGTATATTAGTGTATACCCTAAAAATGTCAATACAGTAGTAGCTAAGTTAAATAAGGATCTTCAACGCATTAATTCTTGGTCACAAAATAACTCCATGCCTCTTAATCCTACAAAATCAGTTTATTGTTATAGGTACTAAAAAGCAGGTACAGGGCATAACTTTTACTGACCTTAACATACGCATCGATGGGGGAAAAGTTCAGCGAGTTTTTGTAGTGCGAAATCTTGGGGTTCTCATTGACAGTTATTTAAAGTTTGAAAATCATGTAATTAATGTTGTTAAAAGTTGTTTTTCCGATTGAAAGTTTTATATTCGATTAGGTCGTTTATCACTGTATATTTACGTGTTAAACTATGTGAAACTTTAGTTCTGTCTAAATTAAATTGTTATATAACTTTGTATGGACCTTGCCTATTTAAAAAATAAAATAATTTAATTCAAAGGGTGCAAAATGCATGCGCTCGTTATTGTTTTTACATCCCAAGACGAACACATGTTACTTCTTACCTTAATGCCTCTAATATGCTTAAAATGGAGGAACGTCTCAAATTATTTTATGCCTCCCTGCTATTTGGAGTATTAAAAACAAAGAATAGCTATATGAAAAGATCCGGTGGAGGCAGAATCAACATATGTACAGTATTCGAAAGTGTGCAAAAGAACTTTGTCAATCAGGTATAGAAAGTTCTTTTGCACACATAGGACATCAGCATTTCGTGGTAGTCACAAATTTATGGCCACAAAATGTTGGAATGATCTTCCACCACTATTACGAGCCGTAACAAACAAGAATAGTTTTAAGAGAAAATACAGTTTTTTTATAGGAAAAGAGTGACAAGCCAACACACAGTCCACCTGATGGTAAGTGGTTGCTGTGACCCATAGATATCTACATCTATCCTCGATTGCGAATCAAAATGAAGATGCGTTGTCAGCCTTGAGGACTAAAATGGAATGCCTCTTTTCCAGTAAAAAGGGTCTCCGGTTCTCTGCACTAACAATACGAAACACAGCAGCATTAAGCTACTATTGTACGCTGGTATTCTGTGAGAGCGTGGTCCTTCCCCTGTCGAGCCGACCCATTCGTGCTAAAACTATACAATTAATATAGCTGCAGGCTGCAGCATGGCTCTACCATGTAAAAAAGAGTATTTATTAAGTGCGCAAAAATGTCATAAAACTAAAAATAAATTGCAGGGGCTGAGTCCCATAATTATATAACTTAAATTTACTACCAATATTCCTATTGAAAACTTCTACGTTGTTTTAGTATAATTACACCTTAATTAGTCTGAATAAATTAAACATCGCTGTGGCTCATACCTTTACTATTATTTTTTGCATATGTTTTGTTTATATTTGGGTTATATTATGTTTATCTTCTGTACATTAATATTAATTATTACTCTACTAATAGTAACGAAATGAAAACTTGTACTGGTTGATTAAATAGTTCTTGTACTGTGTGAATAAATGGGTAAGGTCATAAAAAATGTACTTTTTAAAAGTTTTGAGTGAGCCCATGTTTGATTGTGAATACCGTACGCTAGCAAAAAGTATGATAATATTATTAATTAATAAAACATTGATAATAATGCTTAGAATAATGTAGAAATAACCAGAATATTCAAGAGGCTTAAGCATAAAAAATTAAAAATATTTTTGAATCAACAAAATAAAACTGCATAAAAAATTTATTTGTCTCAATCAACTAAATCAACTTACAGGACAAAAAAATGCAACAAATATAGCATTATGGTTTTAAAATTGTGGTTTACTTTAAAAACAATAAAGATGTCGTGTGATAATTAGTAAATTAACAAAATAAAGCTGCATACGAAATTTATTTGTCTCAATCAACTTACAGGACAAAAAAATGCAACAAATAAAATAATACAGCATTATGGTTTTAAAATTGTAGTTTACTTTGAAAACAATAAAGATGTCGTGTGATAATGTATTTATTGCAATAATACAATGCTAGTGGAAAAAAATCTTATTTTAATTTGTGTCTCCCAAAGTTTTCCAGTGTGTTGCTCCGATTCGATATGGGGTAGATTTTTTGTTTTCAACATTAAACAACATTATTTACATAATTTCGATGAGACAACGCCGTAGGCTTACTGTCAAATGTCAATTTTGACATATTTTTTTCGTTTGTAGTCGTGACCGTAAACAATTGTAAATTCCATAATTTATTTGTGAATTCTACGTGAGAAGTCGTGATATCGTTTACGAGCTTCCTGATTCGAAATTTATAGTCAACTACCAGAGTATGTCAAGTTTTATTAAGTAAATCGCGTATGATTTATGACCGGTATTCATTGTTGAGTTTTGAATTTTCGAGTGTGTTTGATCCAATTTGTTACGTGTTATGGTGTTTCTTATGTCACACACTGGAATGTTATAAAGGAACATGTTCACATAACTTAACCGACTACGGCGAAATGAAAAAGGTGCAATGTTATTCTGACGTACCTACGTAAGAGTGGAGTGTTATGCTATTCCGATTTATTATTACTAGTGGTCCCTCAGTAGCCGAACTAGGTCCGTTTTTAATTAAGAGTTTGTCGCATTTCGTCAACTTTTCCACTCGCACAGGACCAATTTTTAAATTTTATTAATTGGCAAAATCTAAATAAATTATTATTAAAAACACATTTTTTAAAGTGGCTTTATTACATTTGTATGCTGAGTTTATTAGATAAACACAAAAGTTTTTTTTTAAATCATTACTTATTAAATTATTATTATATTATAGTTCACCTATTGATTACATTAAAAAAAACGCATTTTTAAATTTCAATTTCTTCTTAAATATGGCTCTGTGCGAATGCGAATAGTGTCACATGGGATAGCCCTTATAATAAAAAAAAACAAAACTGCGTGATAAATGATAATAATAATTACAGTACATGTACTAATTGTAAATTGTAAACAAAAACAATACCTACTTTGATTAGTACCTACTATTTTTTGCAAGCACATTATTTTGTTAAAGGCTTCAATTCAACTATGTTGTTAATTTGGTCTTTAGTTTCGCAAACATTCAAGCTATGCATAGTCTAAGATTCGTTTTTGATTACTTAATCTTAATTTCATGATAATAAGTAATTGATAATATTTTAAAATGGATTTTACTTGAACCTATTTCCAAGTGAACATTGACCTTCATATTACTCCAGTACGTTATTGTGTTATATCTTCCAGTGCGTTATTTATACTTTTTTACGACCTTACCCAAATAATCAAACAAATCAATTCTATTTGTAATATAATCAGTGATGTACGTGTACTGTTATACTATGTATAGTTAATAAGTATACGGTTGTTGACAGAATAACAGCGTTGTAGATTTTCTGTAACACATGCCGTGTCAGAACCCTTTCATTGTCCTTTTTACAATATTATTTTTGTATTAAGCAGTTTCACTTTTAAATGTTTTGTTACTTTGGGCAATGAATAAATATTTTATTATTATTATATTAGTTTGCTGTTTTACGTTGGTATTCTAAGAATCCTTCCCCGGTCGAGCCGACCCATTCATGATCCAACTATAAAATAGCTGCAGCGTAGCTTTACGACATATTTAATTCTTGCCCACACATAGAATAGGCCCGTATACTTTATCAATCGACCCCCCCCCCCCACAAATTTCATATCCTTAGACCCTTTCAACAAATTAATAAAACACAAAACAGATGTAACAAATTTATTTTATCTGGCAGCTTGATTATTTGATATATTATATTTTTACAGATTTTCGTGCAAGAAGTGTAATAGGGTCGCCTCGTAATGCTTCGCCGCGTGCATGGAACGGAGAGAGTGCCTCTCGCCAGGGTATACCTGCAATTAAAATATTTTAAATCAATTATTTCAATCTAAGCACTTACTATAAATTTCACAGAATGCGAGCAACTCGAGTTCGATCCCCGTCGGCACCAATGAAATTGTTAATTGCGATTTTAAGTGCTGATTTACCACGTGCTCGGCGGTGAAGGAAAACATCGTGAGGAAAACTGCATGTTTGAGACATAAGAAACAAATATATCGAATACACGTGAAGTTCGCCAACATGCATCGGGGCAGCGCGGCGGACATTTTCTTGCCCTAAAACCTTCTCAGAAATGAGCTGAGGCCTGTGTAGTTTTATATACATATAAATTATAAACAACGTTATAGTAACTTATATGTGGTAAAGCCACGCTGCAGCTATATACGTGGTAGAGCCACGCTGCAGCTATATACGTGGTAGAGCCACGCTGCAGCTATATACGTGGTAGAGCCACGCTGCAGCTATATACGTGGTAGAGCCACGCTGCAGCTATATACGTGGTAGAGCACGCTGCAGCTATATACGTGGTAGAGCCACGCTGCAGCTATATACGTGGTAGAGCCACGCTGCAGCTATATACGTGGTAGAGCCACGCTGCAGCTATATACGTGGTAGAGCCACGCTGCAGCTATATACGTGGTAGAGCCACGCTGCAGCTATATACGTGGTAGAGACCGCTGCAGCTATATACGTGGTAGAGTCACGCTGCAGCTATATACGTGGTAGAGCCACGCTGCAGCTATATACGTGGTAGAGCCACGCTGCAGCTATATACGTGGTAGAGCCACGCTGCAGCTATATACGTGGTAGAGCCACGCTGCAGCTATATACGTGGTAGAGCCACGCTGCAGCTATATACGTGGTAGAGCCACGCTGCAGCTATATACGTGGTAGAGCCACGCTGCAGCTATATACGTGGTAGAGCCACGCTGCAGCTATATACGTGGTCACTGGAGAGCCACGCTGCAGCTATATACGTGGTAGAGCCACGCTGCAGCTATATACGTGGTAGAGCCACGCTGCAGCTATATACGTGGTAGAGCCACGCTGCAGCTATATACGTGGTAGAGCCACGCTGCAGCTATATACGTGGTAGAGCCACGCTGCAGCTATATACGTGGTAGAGCCACGCTGCAGCTATATACGTGGTAGAGCACGCTGCAGCTATATACGTGGTAGAGCCACGCTGCAGCTATATACGTGGTAGAGCCACGCTGCAGCTATATACGTGCTGAGCCACGCTGCAGCTCATATACGTGGTAGAGCCACGCTGCAGCTATATACGTGGTAGAGCCACGCTGCAGCTATATACGTGGTAGAGCCACGCTGCAGCTATATACGTGGTAGAGCCACGCTGCAGCTATATACGTGGTAGAGCCACGCTGCAGCTATATACGTGCTAGAGCCACGCTACAGCTATATACGTGGTAGAGCCACGCTGCAGCTATATTATGGTTGTAGCATGAATAGATCGGCTCAACCGGGGCAGGACCACGCTCTCACAGAATACCAGCGTAAAATAACAGCTTAATGCTGCTGTGTTTCGTATAGTGAGTGTAGAGAACCGGAGACTCGTTTTACTGGAATCGAGGCATTCCATCTTAGTTCTCAGGGGTGACCAATATTTAAACGCATCTGCATTTTGATTCTCAATCTAGGTTAAACGTAGATGTCTATGGGCCACATCAACCATTTACCATCAGGTGGACTGTGTGCTCGTTTGTCACCCTTATCCCATAAAAAAAATACATATTTAAAACTACACATGTATGACTATATTTCACCTGAACTCGATGTGGTTTCCCCAGACGTACGAGCTCCGCTAGCAGCGCCGCCGTGTGGCAGAAGTGGACGTTCTCGTCGGCCAGACCGTGGATTATCAACAGTCTACCCTCACTGTAAGCAAATAAAGTTTAATTTGCTTTACACTCGTAGCTTGCATTTCTTACTTAGTTTAATATTGTCAAGTAGAGTGAATTTTATAAAACTAAATTATATAGAACAATTATTAGTTAGAATTCTCTCTTTCTCTTTTTTCTCTTTCAATATGACTCTCTCGCTCTCCCACCTTCTCCGTCTTATTTCGCGTATTTATTTGTAGCCTGCTTTACTTTACACGCGTAGCTTGCATTTCTTACTTAGTTTAATATTGTCAAGTAGAGTGAATTTTATAAAACTAAATTGTATAGAACAATTATTAGTTAGAATTCTCTCTTTCTCTTCTTTCTCTTTCAATATGACTCTCTCGCTCTCCCACCTTCTCCGTCTTATTTCGCGTATTTATTTGTAGCCTGCTTTACTTTACACGCGTAGCTTGCATTTCTTACTTAGTTTAATATTATCAAGTAGAGTGAATTTTATAAAACTAAATTATATAGAACAATTATTAGTTAGAATTCTCTCTTTCTCTTCTTTCTCTTTCAATATGACTCTCTCTCGCTCTCCCACCTTCTCCGTCTTATTTCGCGTATTTATTTGTAGCCTGCTTTATTTATGTGTTTCATTTGCATTTAATTATCTTTTTGTAGCTTAATATGGTAAAAAGCGTGGGGTTCGTGACAATAAAAACTGCCCATTAAATTACCAAAATTGATGCTTTAATTACCGAACACCAAATACAACTGAAAACACACTTTTACTATTGATAATGAAAATACTATGAATAAAACACAATTGTACTGTTGGTCACTTTAGTTCGCAGTTATATCGCTTCGAAGTGTTCACTTGAATCGCCAAATCAATACTCACTCGGTCCTAACCGGTCTTATATAGGGCCTCTCCGACTAAAATATCTAGAATGATTTTGACGCACCTAGTTCTGCTAGTCGATACTAGATGGCGCTAGTGGTAACTCGCAATGTACCAGACATTAATTATGGCGCGCAACAATATATTTGTAACCCTAACTACAAATGTGAGCAACTTAAATTATTAATATTCTATACGGAGAAGTCTACGCTCGGAGTTTTCTTCGTGTCCCTCATGTACTGTTGTACTCTGCATTCTGTACTTGAGTAGGAATGGTGCGTGTATAGCTGCCGATGTGTTAACAAACTCTCTTGCTTGTGTAGGTGTAACGATAGAACTTACTTCACAAAATAGAAGGGCGCGTGTGTAGATGTCGCGGTATCAACGAACTCTCTCGCTTGTGTGAACGAACTCCCTTATTTCTGTGTAGCCGTAAAACTCACCGCTCGGGGAAGAAGGGCAAGTGTATATGTCACTGTGTTAACGAACTCTCTTGCTTATGTGGGGTGTGTGAACGAAATCTCTTGCTTATATGTGTGTAGCAATAGAACTCACCGCTCGGGGAAGAAGGGCGCGTGCGCGAGCACGCTGGCGCGGCTGTAGGCATGCGGCGCGCGCGCCGGCAGCCCCATGTAGCGCTCGGTGTAGGCCGTGTCGTACAGCCGCCAGCTGGTCACCGGCGCACCCGCCACGCACACCTTGAAGATGTTCGGCCGCGTCGCCAGCCCCAGCAGCGACAGGTAGCCCCCTGCGTGACCAAAAACATTTTTTTTTTCATAAAATAAAGAAACAGTCTAAGAACAGCCAGTCACCGAAGAAGTGTGTCTAGACGAGGTAATCGTGCGATTCGGTGCGGGGTGAGACGTGAACGAAGAACACCCGGACGGCCTAACATCCACATATAAATTGTTCGGGAGTTGTCCGGCATAGTTGCAATTATACATATACATATTAAATTAAATTATATTTACAAATATAATTTAATTTAATCTAGAGTCCGATTGATTAGGTTACGTAATCATTTCTTTTCCTCTTTGCCTCATGGTACGAAAACTAGGGGGTGGTATATTTTACGCTGCTACCACACGGCGAGTAGCCGAGTCTGTTCTTTAGGTTTTGTCGCTCTTTTAGCACCACCCGGGGGAACGTGTAGGGTGGGCCTAGGATTAGGTGGTCGAAGCCTACGGACGCGAGCGACTTATCCCGTAGAAAGAATGAATGAGGAAATACTGACAAAGCAAATATATGTTGCAGAAGTGAATGGAAGAGTCGGAAAGGGTCGTCCTAGGCGAAAGTTTGTCGACCAAATTGGCGATATACTAAAAATGGGCCAAATTAAGACTACCCTTAACCGACGAGCATGTATGCGTAGGTATATGGATGTGGAAGAGGTGAGAGAGGTATGTCAGGATCGTACTAAATGGAAGTCTGTAGTCTCTGCCTACCCCTCTGGGTGACAGGCATGAGTGTTTATGTTTATGATTAGGTTAAAAAGGAATAAATATATTTAATACCACTTCAAAGAAAACTTAAAAATAATATGATAGTTGAAAGAATAACTAACATCCGTCACAATATGGCCGATATTGAAGTTATATACTTTAAAATTTATTGTCCTTCCGCGCGAAATCGGCAATGTTGTGGATTTTATTTCGATGATAATCTTAATGGCGTTATTCTGTGTATGCTGATTTGGATTTTAAGGATGGTTTAGATTCACAATTGGACGACGTAGGTGACGTTGTTGTCGAGATTCAGAAATCACCCGTGCGATTCTATCGCTAGTTAATACATAAAACACTGATATCTAATATGAAATAAACACTCTTTTTGAGCTATAATCCACACATTATTGAAAATAAACATTTTAATTGACACAAAATTCACAGTTGCTTTTGTTGGCATTATTTTTATACTCTTTGACTGCAATATCTACTCTGTACGACTGTTAGACCACAGACTATTACAGAAACAACTATAAAGTCGTTCGTAAGTTCAAATATTTCATGAATATTTTTATGCACAGCACAACGGCTCGTAATGTAAAAAAAAAGAAACATTTTTGTTTAATTATAGGAACCGGGTATTAGTTATATGAATGTAAATAACTCACCATAACTCCAGCCGTGTATCGCCACCCTTTCCATATCTATGCAGCCGGTCTCCTTCGCCAGCCACTGAAGAACCTCGACCTGGTAACCAAAACACATGTTATAAACAAGGTGTAAGTTTATATTTTAGTGTAAAAAGTATTATCGTGTAAATTTATACGTGGTAAAACTAAGCTGCGGCTACATTACGTCAGTCGTCGACCCATTCGAGCTACAACCATAATATAGCTGCAGAGTAGCTCTACCGCGTACGAATTATAATTGCTGATTTACCACTTGCTTACAGTGAAGGAAAATATCGTAAGGAAAGTCTGATATATAAAAAAATACGTGTGGCACTCGGGGACGCCAACACAAAAAAAAAAAATTTAAAAAAAAGATAAAACACAAATATGTTTTTTTTAAGTATTTTTAATAATAAAAATATGGTTATTAAAATAAATAAATTTTTTTTTTTTTAAATTTACTGTTTAAAATATTTTTATTATCTTACAATACATGCAACCAGTCCACACGCATACGTCTAGTAGCACGCACACAAACACCGTGCCGAAGTCTGCCGAACTTAAACGACGTTAGACGGTTTTCGGGTCTTAGGTTTATTTCGTTACGGAATTTCTTGATTCGGTCGCCGCGCTCAAAGCCCGCGATAAAAGCTATGCAATAGCCTAATATATTAAATATATATTTCGAAAACATGTGAAGTTCGGCAACACGCATTGGGACAACACGGCAAACCCCTCTTTCTCGAAAACTAAAACTCTCTTAAAACTGAGATAATGCTGTTCCTAGCTCTGTGACTTATAAGGGCTGTAAGTTTCATTAATTCCATTAACATAAGCATCCGAATCCTAATGTAATATGGATCCTCAATGAATAGAATAGTTTTTAATTCAATATAGATTACATATAGTTCTATCCAAAGTAATTTTTTACTTTTACCAATTGTTAGGAAAAAAACCTCTGTCCTGGGAAGAAGAAACAAGCAAATTTTACGTGGTAGAGCCATGCTGCGGCTATATTACTGATATAGTTGTAGCACGAATGGGTCGGCTCGACCGGGGCAGGACCACGCTCGCATACAATACTAGCGTTAAATAGCAGCTCAATGCTGCTGTATGATGTATGGTGAGTGTAGAGAACCGAAGACCATTTTTACTGGAAACAAGGGTGACAAAGCATCTGCATTTTGAATCGAGGATTGATGCAGATGTCGCAGATGTCTATTGGCAACAGCATCCACTTACCGTCAGATGGTCTGTGTGCTCGTTTGTCACTCTTAATCTATAGAACACGTACCCAAATGGCTGTCAACTTTATTTTGTACGAGGTTTGGCGTCGCCAAACCCGATTCGCTGTGTTGACAGATTGAGTAAATTTACACATTTTAGACTGATTAATGTTCAAGATCATCATAAAAAAATCGTTTAAATTTTAATACATATTTATTTGTAAATAGGGTGCAATTTGGCATTTTTTTAAATAAAACGTCAAAACACATCTCGTGTTGACATTTCTACGTGTGTATTGAAGTGTTAGTGACATTTTAGTGGCTACATGAGCTCCGCCCACTCCCCCGTTCTATTATGTATGTATTATAGTATTCTATGATAAAACAGTGGCTTAGAAATGAGTTACGGCGCTGAAGTCTGCGGGTTCGAATCCTGCATCTATGGGGAAGACCTTTATTCAATAGTTAACTTGTGAAGGTTGTAATGACGATGATGATGATACAGCTTATAGTTTCGAAGGCCCTGTAATGAGACCTGAGGTCGTCCACCTAGTTCGGAAGAGGTTTTGAGCTACCGTGGAATAGCATTACAAGGGTAATAGGGATCGTGAGTAGAGCAGCTTCGGTGTCGTTACGAACAGAGATTCCGGCACCTTGCCCCAACCGACGTTGGTCAGCAATGTCAATTTAAAAAAATCGCGGTCGCAGTCGCACGTCAGCAACGAAGTTCTTTAAGTTATTTTTTCTACTCTAAAAGTGTTAGTTTATATAAAAATAATATGATAAAGTTACACCTAGCGCCACCTAGTGTTATGTGTGTAAGTTAGGAATGGGTCGTCGACGTATTTACAGTCGACGAAACGAGACTGTTTATCGTCAACGATAAACTAGTTTATAAAACAGTTTTTTTTTTCGACTAGTTTATGTTGTTGATATATGATCGATGAATAGTTTACATCAATATAAACTACTTGTCGTTCTACGTTGATTCGCTAATTGGTAAAGGACGAAGGATGTTTTCTTCGCAGATGACTTTTTAAATTGGCGGTGGATGACTTATAACTTAACACATCTTTACGTTCATTACATGTTGCTTTAAAAGATTTATTGTTTTTTTTTTCTTCTTTAAAATGGTGCCATATTACACTATTGTTTTTACGGGCCGACGCCTACATAATTAATATATTTACACTAACCACTTAAATACCTAACACTAAACACTATTACTGTTCACACTGTTATTATTAACACTAGAAATTAAACCTAATTTTAATAATTATTTACACTTTAGTTAATCTCTTCAATTATAAATGTACTAAAGACGTTTAACCTTGACCAATACAAAACGTATTTCAATGGAGAGTTGGAGACTAAAAACTAACGTGTTTCGTACACGAATTCAAAAACCTGCCTACGCCAAATATTGACATGCATATTTCATATATATTTCCATTTAAATAGAGCTTGTTTTTACAAAACACCTCCCACTCAATGGTTCGAGAGTCAAGCACGTGGAGAAAAAGAGATAGTCGTCGAAACAAGCAGGTGTGAAGAGAACGGAATGCTTGATCCACAAGTGGCCAGCGAAAAAAAACAGTTTCGGCTTTCGGCAAACACTCAACGGTGTATGTGCGCGATGCAAAATGTCGTTCACGGGTAAACTAGTTTATCAGTAGACTATAAACCGGTCTAACAGTCGACGGCAAGTAAACTGTCGAAAAAAACTGTTCGTTCATTCAACGCCCACCGTTAATGTAAGTCACATGCTGTAGTTTTAGATTTGTCTCTGGCTGTCTTGTTCAATAAATCAGTTCGTTCCAAGTCAAATAAGCATGCGCCTTGTTTCATTAATAAGTGATTTAACATGTAAATTTCTATTGAATAAAAATAATAAAAATTTTAATTTATTAATTTAAATTCATTTCAAATAAAATAATTAGAATTAAATTATTAGATTAATCTCAATACTCGCACGCACATACAAACGTATATAATAGAAAGAGAGAAACATAGAGAAAGAGAGGGAAAGGTCGTCTGGACGGGGCATAACGCTTTTTCCTTATGTAATTATTTCTGCCATTTCAATCTAAGTAGATTTCTTCTCTGCAGGCTAGATAAAAATTATTGTGAGCTTTTACAACAAAATCACAGAAAATATATTCAATATGACCTGCTCAAAGTTCAAAAACTTTATTAAATTAAGTTTGTATAAAAAAGGTTATTATAATATTAAGTAATTTATGGATGATAATAACCCCTGGGTACAGTGATCGCTACCAAGCTATTTCCAATTTGTTTGGTACTTAATTGTGTAACATAATATGATTGTAAGCTGTTATTTTTAAATAAAAGTCCCGCTGGGTTTCTTGCTGGTTCTTTCCAGAACAGAGGTATTTTTCTGAACCTTTGGTAAATTAAAGTGTCTTTCGATAAATATTGCTTATAATCTATATTGATTAAAAAAAGTTTCTGTGTCTGTAGCATCAAAAAGAACATCTTACCTGATCATCCAATTCCACCTGTCCCATCTTCCCTCTGATCGCAGCCTCCCACGCTCTGCCGCGATGTTTGGACCCCCTCGAGTCTACCGCCACCACGTTGAACCCTCGCGCCGCCAGCATATGCATGCGAAGTTGTCTAATACCCTGAAATAAGAACGAATCGAGAATACACCAATGAAATGCAGTTGTTTATGTCTAAGAAAAATTGTAGTAGTGTTTTTCGTTTTAATTTTTTTTATGATAATAAATATGAAGGTACTGAACGTGGTAGAGCCATGCTGCAGTTATATTAGTAGTATAATTGCAGCACAAATGGGTCGGCTCGACCGGGGAGGAACCACGCTCTCACAGAATACCAGTCAAATAGCAGCTTAATGCTGTTGTGTTTCGTATGGTGAGTGTAGAGAACCGGAGACCCTTTTTACTGGAAACGAGGCATTCCATCTTAGTTCTCACGGGTGACAACGCATCTGCATTTTGATTTGTAATCGAGGATAGATGTAGATGTCTATGGGCCGCAGCAACCACTTACCATCAGGTGGAATGTGTATTTTTTTATAGGTTAGGGTGACAAACAAGCACACAGTCCACCTGATGTTCATTCGTGCTACAACTATACTACTAATATAACTGCAGCATGTCCCTACCACGTACAAGTTACAGCTTACATACGTCACAAAGCTGGGTACAGGTTTCCTCTAATTTCTGAGAGGAAGCCTGAGATAGAGCAATTAAGAGGATACACTAATTAGAGCCTAATTTGCAATATTTTTCTATCGAGAAAATTACATGATATCGTGTTTTCCTTTTATGCAATCCAAGATCATATAGTCAAAAATCATATACCAAATATTTGGTTTGTAATCAATAAAACTTAAAAAAATACGTGAAATTAAAAACCATTAAATTTTCGAAGTATCGCCTTAACTCGCTACCCTGCTAGTGCGTGTTGACGGACTTCATATTTCCTATAAATATTTTATTCTCAACTAGCTGTACCCCCCGCGACTTCGTCCGCGTGAAATTTATTACGATTGAACTTCATTAGTTTGAATTTTTAGCGCATGACTCCAATTCTTTTTCCAAAATGAATGTACTCCTTTATAACATCAGCTATCTGCCAGTGAAAGTCCAGACTAATTTGGTTTAGCCATTTCGGAGATTAGCCGGAACAAACAGACAAAATATGTTGTATAAATTGTTTTTCTTTTAAATAATGTTCATATAGCTGTGGCACCGCGATTCCACGCGCGTATATCACACGTATGTGCCGCACAACATGACATGATACCTCGCTCATTTAGTTCAATCATTTTATGGAGTATTTTTACCTATCGGCATATATACATTATACAGCAAAGTTGAATTTTATCCACTTTTCCTCCCCCTCCTGGATAAGCCGCACCCTTCACGCCGCAGAAAGTGCACCAAAACGCGGTTTTTTTTTTTCAGTTTTAAAGAGAAATGTAACACGATACATGAAAAGTGTGGAGGTACGAAATGATCCTTGATTAATTTTTTTATCAACCTAGTATACATATGAAAGCGTTTAATTAATGGGACTTATTTTGTACCGGCGTTACTATTGCATATTTTAACATTAAAAAGTAGTTATTGTGACATAACTGTAATAGTTAAAAAATATGGTATCGCGAACTTTTTTGTAGATATTTATATCTTCTATAAAACTGCAGCATATCACTTTGCTCTATTGTCAATAGTTTCCGCAGCGTACGCGATGTAAGGATTTTTTTGGTATTTCTTTCACACCGCGGTTTACATTAACGAAGTTTTCATGCGGATCCCTAACTTTTTGAAACTATTCTATAGTCTATGTTCATCAGGAATAATGTAAAATTCCACTGGTGAAAGAATTTTTCAAATCGGTCCAGTAGTTTCGGGGTCTATTCAATACAAACAAACAAATGAATCTTTCCTCTTAGTAATATTAGTGTAAGATATACAGGATCCTTCACGACATTTCCTTTTACTGCTGGAGTAAAATCAGCACTTAAAAATAGCAATATGATTCGTGTTTGCGGGGTTCGAACCCGAATTGCTACTTTATCTGATATTATATTTACTACTATAGCATAACTTTTGTGCTATCACATTTCTACTTCAGCTTTTGTCCATGAATTAAAAATAGAAGGGGGAGGGGATGCAGTGACCGTACCTTGTAGCTGTTGGTGACGGTCTGCACCTCGGGCCCGCCGTACACGTGGAGCACTGTAGGGCTGCGCCCCGCGCGGCCACAGCGCCACAGCGTACAGTACGCGGCCGCGCCGCACGACAGTCGCGTCTCCAGGATTTGAGGGGGAGGTACTTCAATACCGCTTAATGAACGCTCTGAAAAGACGTAAAAGTTACCAATTAAGATTATATATTGGTCCTTCGAGCCGGATATTTAGTTCTCTAAACGGTATCCATATGGTGCTACGAATGTAGTGACAAATGTATATACAACAAGACACGTTTAGTTTTAGTCTATCTTAATGAATTAGTCCTTTAAGACGGATATTTAGTACTTAACCTGACTGCATCGTTGTTCTAGTAATCGTAAACGCGATTGTTGATCATGAGATCTCGGCTTCGAATCTCGATTTGGGCGAAAATTTTTCATTGGGTCTTTCTGTCAAGAAATTTTCAGTAACAGCCCAGAGGCTGTAAGTTGGCGGTATTGCACCCACGTGCCTCGGAAAGCACGTAAATCCGTTGGTCCTGCGCTGGATCTCTCACCGGTTGTGTCGGGTTGCCGGCACTTCGGACTTTGAAAGTGAGAGAATAGAGCGCACTTGGGCTTGCGCATACACTTTAGCACTACAATCCTATCCTGCGTAGATGGCTGAGACTATGATGAGAGAGATGGATGAGACTCGCCGCCATGAGCGAAATTCGATCTAGAGGACATTAATTCTTAAGAATCGTGTAAGGTTGCTTTCACATACCTCTGACTAGTAAAGTGGTGTCGCCCTCTTCGTCCCCGTCCCCCCGACTGTCCCACACACCGTTGAAACTGCGTGTTTCTGATGACTCTGTAAGACAAGACACAATAAACAATTTTGACTAACTAGATTAAATGAAGTCAAAAACAAAGCAAACTGACGCGGTTGGACCGCCCGAAGGCGCAATAGAGAGCTATCGCACAAACAAAATTGACGTTGTCGATGTAGCTTGTGTTATTTATTGTTACTCCCGAAAACATACGAAAGGAAAATTAAAAACACACATGATTCATCATTTAGTGGAAACACGTAACGAATCTGACTACGCAATTCATAGACGCATGCGCAAATTCACCGGTGACTCGCCGCAAATTATGACCCGCCTATAAGCCGCCTAGTGCGTATAGACAAGATGGCGGCTGTGGAAGCGAAGCCAGCCGCGAAGCCAGCCGTGGCCTTTAACTCAAGCGCCGCGGTTGACATTATGTAGCGGTTTAGTGCGTACAATCATAAGCGGTTGCATATTAATGTGAATAATCGCTAGTGCGTGTGTGCGCTATATCCTTTAGGCCAGAACTAAGCAGTGCAAACTGCCTCTTTATTTAGACAGACTCTAGGCAGAATAAAATGTCCTACCCACCCACGGATTGGCTATTACCTTCCCTCACATCAAAAACCCCCAGCGGTGGGCATCACTTACCGAAAGTGTTTCGTTCCATGAGCGTGCCTTGCACTATCAGCGTGGGCGTGGGCGTGGAGTGCGACACGCGGTACACCCGCGTGCACGGCACACTGCTGATGTTGGACGACGTCATCACCACCGTGCTGCACTCCTGCGGACAGTCACCATTACACCATTTTTTATACAACAAGATTGTTACTGATAATACAGTGCACATGATGTTGTGTTCAAGTATATTATAGTATACATTGTGTTCAAGTATATTATAGTATACGTTGTGTTCAAGTATATTGTAGTATAGTATAGTTTCAGTTTTGAAACTTCAGAAAGGAGACTGTCCATTTCAGGCCTAGTCTATGGACACTAAACCGTAAAAAAACAAAAAATTCAGGGATTTTATTAAAAATAATATCAGAGAATAAATAAAACTAAACGACTTGCTAAAAATAAAAATACAATCCCAATTTTTGATGATTTTACAAGGTGGCGCCCTTCCAGTCGTAAAATTATATGTTATATGTCATGCCTGAAAAGTGACTAGTCATGAAATAATGTAGGTAGTATGATATTTTTTTTATTCCGAGCTTGTTCGTGCAGTTGTGAACTCGTGAATGCGTTTATTGCATTCCTTTGGATTTCTTTGGTAATTTGTTTTTTTTTATTTGAACTTTGGATTTGTTATTACTTATTTCACTCGTCAATGTTTTATGGACTTCATGATTTACGTGAGATTTTGATTTCATTGATATCAGACATCTGTAGAATCACATTTTGAATCATCAATAACCTCATGAAAGTTGACAGCTAACGTCAAAACGACATCAAATCGCCATTAGTGTTGCAGTTTTTGCTAAGAATAAAATATTAATACCACTGAAATAAAGGCAAATTGGTGGATTTGAATGACCAAAAGTGGTGTGAGATATTATTTTAATTTATTTTCCTACTTTTATATTGTCTATTGTATATTTATATTATCTAGTACCCGGATGACCGAGCTTTGCTCGGTTTTCTTTGAAATTACATTTAGATACAAATTACATACTGATGAATAATATTTTTTGATCTTATTGACATAATAGAAAAAACTGAACTGGTTATTTGAATAAAAAATCATGAGTGCAATTAGTTTAATTAAAATTTTCGTATTATTGAAAAATACTAAAAAAAGGGCTCGAAATAATAGATTTTCTCACAAAAGAAGGGAACTTGAAAAAAAAAGGAAAAAAATCGGACCGAAGACAGGACGCGAACCAAGGCATTACGATTTCGCGACCGCTCGATATCCACTTGAGCTATTACGATCATTAACATAGTGTCAAAATTTACCTTCTTATATTGTAGCAGTTTTTCATTGCCTGAAAACACGGACAAAAAGAAAGATATTTTCTAAAAATAAATCCTAGCTAGATCGATTTATTGCCCCAGAAATTCCCTGGACACTAAATTTTATGAAAATCGTTGGAGCCGTTTCTGAGATTCCGATTAAATATATACAAGAATTGCTCGTTTAAAGGTATAGGATACAAATTTGGACCGTCTCTTTTGAAGACGAAAAAAACCAGGAGCATTATCTTACTAATAACAACTTTAAAAAAAACTACGCTTACCAACTACGGAAAATATCCCACAAATGAGGCTATTTATGGGGCAGGCCTATGTTCCGCAGTGGACTTTCAATAGACTGTAACGGTGAGCGAAGAAGAAATGAATGAAATTCCGCGAAGGGATGAAACACGTACTCAGCTACCACTCTACAGCTATGTTATAGATGTAGCACGAATACGTCGGCTCGACCGGGGCAGTACCACGCACTCACACGATACAAGCGTAAAATAGCAGAGTAATACTGCTATGTTTCGTATGGTGAGTGTAGAGAACCGGAGACCCTTTTTACTGGAATCGAGGCATTCCATCTTAGTCCTCAGGGGTGACTATGAATTTGCATTTTGATTCTTAATTCAGGATAAATGTGGATGTCTATGGGCCACAGCATCCACTTACCATCAGGTAGAGTGTGAGCTCGCAAAAAAAAAAAAACATTTTCCGCGTACAAGCACTTGTTGCGTGTGCGCGTACGTGAGTGCGTGCGTGCGTGTGTGTGGACACATAATGCAATAAACTATATCATTGCTGCCGGCGTAGATCAAACTAAAGTTGCTGTAGAACTATGTAAATAAACGTGATTGCTTAGCCTCTGATTGACTACGGCTTTTATTGAAAGTAAAGTTATCTACATACGTCCTAATGCTAGGCCCACGCCTCCTCTAATTTATAAAGGTGATATGGCAATTAGTCTGTCACGCTGTCATGCTGGACTTATGATGGGCTGTGACGGTGACGGTAACGGTAACGGGTATGTAAACGTAACGGTTATACCGCCATCTATCGGAAGCCATTAGATTTTTTTTATAGAATAAGGATGACAAACGAGCACAAAGCCCATGATGGTAAGTGGATACTGTGGCCCATAGACATCATTTATCTTCATTTAAAAATCAAAATACAGATGCGTTGTCACCTCTGAGGACTATGATAGAACGCCATGTTTCCAGTGAAAAAACTATCTGGTTCTCACCATACAAAACACAGTAGCATTAAACTGCTATTTTATGCTGGTATTCTGTGAGATACCATATATCCCATAGTCTATATCTCGAAATGTTTTATTACTCAGACATGCAGGCTTCCACATCATGTTTTCCTTCACCACCGAGCACATGGTAAATAAGCACTTAAACAGCTACTAAAAAATTCATTTCTTAGCCTCTGAGGTTATGTCCATTTATATTTTATCCTCTCAGAAATAAAAGAGAGAACCTAAGCTTAAAAATGAAAATGTTTGACTAATCATGTCTTAGTTGTTTTAATTGATATTTGCATCGCCTTTCCATCAAATAATTTATTTAAAGAATTGCAATTTATTTACCACGTGGTCAGCCACGCTACAGCTATGTTATGGTTTAACACGAATGGGTCGGCTCTTTTCTTTAATTAAACTAAGATGAAAAAACAGAATTATAAACAAACTATATTACTGAGCTACAATAGAAGAAACAAGGATATGTCCACAAAAATCGAACTTATTGCTAATTGGGAATTACAACTAAAAATCACAAACATAAAAATTGTGACCTTATTTTTAAGAGAAGTAGATCCAATTTTGACTTCGTTACTTCCAAGTTTACGTGAGACAGGGTCTTCCGAGTGTGCGGGATAAAGGTAAGTTACCACTTGCCGATTTCCCGAGTCTCTAAAGAGGAAAGGATGGGATCAGTTTTGAATAAGGAACTACAAATTCTGTCTATGTCCTAGTCTCTCAAATCAGGTTGGAACAACAGTTATACGTGGTAGAGCCACATTGCAGCTATATTATGGCTGTAGCACGAATGGGTCGGCTCGACCGGGGAACCGGCGTGAAATAGCAGTTTAATACTGGTGTGTTTTGTATGGTGAATGTAGAGTACCGGAGACCCTTTTAACTAGAAACGAGGCATTCCATCTTAGTGCTCCGGGGTGACAACGGATCTGCGTTTATGTCTATGGGCCACAGCGTCCACTTACCATAAGTTTTATTTTCACTCGAGCCTCTCGAACTGAGATGTGATATAGACTATATCTATAGAGGATTGAAAGAAAATATATCTACTTACATCATCCATGTCGACAGTGTGCGAATGCCCTGGTGTAGTGAGCAACGTAATTGGTGCTGAGCCTCGTAAAGGGGCGACGTAGAAATGGCGCTCCAGTGGCGTCTCGCGGAGCCCCACGAAATAAACTAACTGCCGGGCTTGGTCCACCTGAAACAAAATAACATTTGCGATAAAAAAATTATATAATAAGGGTGACAAACGAGCACACAGTACACCTGAAAGTAAGTGGATAGTGCTTCCCATAGACATCTACATTTTAACCTCTATTAAGAATCAAAATGCAGATGCCTTACACAAGATAGAATGCCTCTATTCCAGTAAAACGGGTCTCCGGTTCTCTACACTCACCATACGAAACACAGCAGCATTAAGCTGCTATTTTACGCTGGTATTCTGTGGGAGCGTGGTCCTTCTCGGTCGAGTCGACCCATTCGTGCTACAGCCATAATATAGCTACAGCGTGACTACCACTATTCAAGAAACATTTTCTTCATTGTAATGCGCTCAATATTATCAGAGCGCAGTCGACAGAGGGAAACAAATCAGGTGATGGGAAGCAGCGTCTTCGTGATAACGACTAAAAATAAAAACCCACTGCCATAGTTGCCACCAGGCAACTATGGCAAGTGTCTAAGGGAAGTGTATGAGGCAATCTATGGGGGAGGCCTGAGTTCAGCAGTGGACTTATAGACTGTAATGGATGGTTGTATAGAAGATAATCTACCAGGAGCACATGACCCACTGAGAGGTGAAATTATTAAATCAACAGTAACATTACAACTATAGCAAAGTTCCCCCTATGAGGCAATCTATGGGGGGAGGCCCATGTTCCGCAGTGGACTTTAATAGGCTGTAATGGATGGTTGTATAGAAGATAATCTACTAGGAGCACATGACCCTCCGAGAGGTGAAATTATTAAATCAACAGTAACATTACAACTATAACAAAGTTCCCCCTATGAGGCAATCTATGGGGGGAGGCCCATGTTCCGCAGTGGACTTTAATAGGCTGTAATGGATGGTTGTATAGAAGATAATCTACCAGGAGCACATGACCCACTGAGAGGTGAAATTATTAAATCAACAGTAACATTACAACTATAGCAAAGTTCCCCCTATGAGGCAATCTATGGGGGAGGCCTGAGTTCAGAGACTTAAATATTATGCTGTAACCGCATTAACATGCATTTTTCACCACGTTTTTATTAACTCGCTCTTGTATATGTCTGATCGTGTGGCATTTAGTAATGATATTTTAAACTAAATATAGATATTCCAAAACGTATGGAGCCTGGGCCAGATCCTTGTACACTATACTCAAAAATAGGAAAACACATTTTAGACGGTTCTCAAGTGTCCAATTGTTTTATAATGGCTTTGTTTGCTGGTAAAGAACAGGAAATTACACTTGTAATTGCCCACGGTTATTGATTAATGCATGAAGAGAACAGGAGAACGATCGCCGTAGAAAATAGTGTCCCAGAAATATGTGACCATAAGTGAGGCGCTGCGATCGCTAAGTTCGCTCAATAAAAGTCATTTTCAGTCTATTTTTCCGATCAGATGCTAAACCACTTGCACATCCACGTACAATAAAATATTTCTCCATTTTTAATGTTTCCTTTTGTCAAAAATTACAAAATTACGGAGCATAAAATTTTCACACCAATGCCACAGAGAAAATTTGTACATTATTCAACTAACTTCATCTACTTGTACTCATAAACGGCTAACTTCGCAGTCACTACTCACCGACGTCAGCGCCGCTATGTATACTACAATTTTCAAGGACAGGCGGGCTACGCTTTAATACGTAGTGATCATTCTGTTCTCTAACCTACATGGATTAATGACTTTTGACATGTTTATTTCACGTATTATTGAAACTGTTGTGATAACTGACAGTTCTCTTTATATGATTTTTTTAATTTAACTGGCTTTAAGGCTCTGGGTTCTAGCCCTTCTGAGCCTATCATTTCTTTAGTAATCTTTTTTATATATTTTTTCTTCACAATATGCTGATGCGTCACATTGCGAAGTTTTTGGGAGGTTTGGCGACAGCTCAACCCAGCGGGCTGTTGATGACGACAGCCCCACTCAAGTTCATAAAGCGCCTAAGCGATCAAAATAACTTGAGGTTAATATCAAAATCAAAGCACTTGTTTCGTCGTTTTCTCTAATAGTTCACACGCGCAAACACTTAAATCACTAAATCACATCAGTTTTACGAATCAAAATCCACTTCAAACAATTATTCAAACTGTCGTTTGTTGTCAAACAGTAGCGACAATCCATCGACGGCCAAGTTCCCGCCAAAACTCCCTCCCTATATATGATTAATGGTTGCTGTACAGTTTAGTGTCATTGTCTATAAGCACAGAATAACTAAATCGGTAAGACGCCATGTTGAAAGTCGATAAAAGTAATTGATAAAAAAAAGAACGTGGCATAAAAATGTTTGAACGCATAATTATTAAAAATTTCACTTGTTCGATTAAGAGACTGTTCGAAAACATTTGATTTTCGATAGGTAAAAAAATATAGGATAGGCGGTATAATCATTTTTTACGCCTCCGAGGCGTTTGGAGGCTAACCGTGACGATCAAGCCAAATCCTCCGTGCGTTCCATAAACAAACAATAGATATAAATATTCCTATCGTTTAAGTGGAACAATATTATATGAAATGAAAGTTATTGAGCATTGAATTAATGCACGAAAACAAAATGTTGGCATTAAATTTTTTTTACAAATAATAAAAAGTAAGTACTGCATCACAGCTGTTACATATTACTTACTTTGATTTTGGTTATAAACTTAATCTTACAGTAATGAAATAGATCAATGTACTCATATTTTTCCTAATCGTAAAGGCAAAAAGAAATTTACAATATAACACGGTATCTACATTATGGTTGTAGCACGAATGGGTCTCGGCTCGACCGGGAGACCCCGATCGACCACACTCTCACAAAATACCAGCGTAAAACAGCAGCTTAATGCTGCTGTGTTTCGTATGGTGAGTGGAGAGAACCGGAGTCCCCTTTTTACTGGAGACGAGGCTTTCTATCTCAGTCTTCTTAATCTTTTGATTTTTGATTCTTAATTTTTTATTCTTAATCGAGGATAGATGTAGATATCTATGGGCCACAGCATCCACTTACCATCAGATGGACTGTGTGCTCATTATTTACCATTATTCTATAAAAAAAACTTAGCTTTTTAGTTGTTAATCACATCATTGGTACATTTAGTTGTCTGTAAAGTTGTTCAGTTTTGCATTTCGAATTAAATAACGTTTTATCATTCATAAATATACAAAAAACATTTTTATCATTATACAAATAACATTTTTATCATTACACAAATAACATTTTTATCATTATACAAATAACATTTTTTCACTCCAAAAAACCATAACATCATTTAGCTTATAAAGGAAAGTTATGTAATGATTTCTTATATTTACGCGAACACTACACATTGAAATAATACTAGTTTTTACGGAATTTATCGCGTATATTTAACTATTTAATACCCGACGTTTCGAAAGCTTTACAGCATCCATGGTCACAGGAAGGACTGAGATGTTCAACGTCCAGATGTCATAACCGCGGTTACCATAGATTAAAATTTAACTTTTGTTCCGATCTACACAACAAAACAAAACAAAACAAAACATAACCCGACATTATTAAAAGTATTAAAAAATCGATAGTATAAAACAATAAAGATCGCCCTAAATCCGGCCCTGTTCTCCTAACATTCACCGCAAAACATGACTCACCCATATCTTCCTATCCATGACCTCCCACTCCCCGCTTGTGATCGCCTCCTTACTGATGATGTTCGGTCCCACCGCGTTTGTTTCATCATCGATGATCATTTCAATGACAGCTGTGAACAAAAAGTCATTTTTACTGGTCAGTTACTAATGTTTACGTGTTTATCTTTATACATATCTCTTCTGCCTGGTATGTATATGACTGAACTCCACCTAAACACCGATTTTAACGAAATTTTGTGTTTTTCTTAAAGCTTCACAATTGGATACAATTGGTTAGGTGGTGTCTATGGCGTCTTGTCTAGATCCAGAAATAACCCGTGCGAAGATGGGGCGGCTCACTAGTAACTCATGAATATGAGTTTTGTCGGGAACTTGAATGGCGGCAGATTACTGGTCCTTTATGATTTTTACAATAATGGTTTCAAGTAGATTTTGATACGTAAAAGTGTACTTACTATTAGTGAAAACGATGAAACAAATGCTGAAATGTGATAGTGAAGTGAATTTCAAGGTAAGGAGTCTACTTAGACGCCTTGAGATACCTTTGCCACCGATTGTGTTTTGGTTCTAGTTGCCGCTAACCTTGCAAAATTTATACATACACACACACACACACACACACAGATATATATATATATATATATATATATATATATATATATATATATATATATATATGTAATGTAATTAACGCACACCCTCAGACACCCCAATTAGTATATTATGTTATAATCATAATACATACACTGAATTTTAGTTAAACATTTTTATGCACTGATTATTTATCAAATTAGTTATACTAATTCCGGAAGAATGTTGTGGTCACAGTACAAATCCACGAACGCAAAGACTTTAAGATGCTTGAAATAAAGTTAATTTTTCTTTATTTTTATTGAATGACAGAATTAGTAATAATAAAAATAAAACTGCACTCTTAAAAGTCTTATTGCCTTAAGTTACGGTCCATTTCAGTTTGTTTTGACTGTACAGGTTTAGTGCGACTGTAATTTACGTAGTTTTAATTATTTTTGGGATAAAAAATTACCTATATTAAAAATGATAGGAATCGATTCAGTAAACGATTCTGAACAAACTACTTTCTCAAAGTGCGTTAATTATGTTACATGTTGTATATATATATATATATATATATATATATATATATATATATATATATATATATATATATATATATATATATATATATCGATATATCGTAATAATGTACATGAAGGCCTAAAATTTTATTACTGAGCGATTGGACTAAGAAAAAAAATGACAACAACATATGAATGCTTTGTAGCTGCTTTTGTTACTTAATGATTTTACAACATTTTAAAATATACGAGGGTGGATTGAAAAGTACTCGGCCTAACACAGATCCATTCAATTCTAAAAATCAAATCTACTCACATTATTTAGTTCAGTTCAGACTAGTTCATTGTGTGAAGTTCGAAACGTGTGCGATAATTAGTTGTGATTTTATAAATTTATTAACAAAGTAATCGGACATAATTTCCGCGAATGGAGCAAATCGAGCAGCGTGCCGTCATTAAGTACCCCCATAAGAAGGGGCTATCATCAAAAGCCATCCATGATGACATGGTCAGTACATTAGGCGATTGTGCTCTGTCATATTCATCCGTCAAAAAATGGATAGCAGAATTTAAGCGTGGTAGAGAGAGTGTGAAAGATGAACCCCGCTCTGGAAGGCCTTCGACGTCAACTACTGACGAAAATATTAAAAAAAGTACTTGATTTAATAATGGGAGACCGCAGATTAAAAATTAGAGAGATAGCCGAGATTATAGGCATCTCTTATGAACGAACTCAAAACATCATTGTCAACGAGTTGGGTTTCCACAAGGTGTCTGCGAGGTGGGTTCCGCGACTGCTTTCAGTTGAACAAAAAAGGATGCGATTGACTATTTCACGCGACTGTTTGGAGTTATTTGAAGCCGATGCAGATGATTTTTTGAATCGTTTTGTTACTATGGACGAAACATGGGTTCATTACTGTACACCGGAAACAAAACAACAATCAAAACAGTGGAGAAGACCTGGTTTACCACCCCCTAAAAAAGGCTAAGTCGATTTTGTCGGCAAATAAGGTGATGGCTTCAGTATTCTGGGACTCGAAAGGTGTGATTATGATTGATTATCTTGAAAGGGGTCAGACTATAAACTCTGATTACTACTGCACCTTACTACGTCATTTACGAGAGGAAATAAAAGAAAAACGTCGAGGAATGCTCAGAAGAAAAGTCCTGTTTCATCAAGATAACGCCCGTGTTCACACGTCAGTACAGTCAATGGCTGAAATTCACAACTGTAGCTTTGAACTGTTACCGCATCCGCCGTATTCACGTGATCTGGCACCATGAGACTTCTTTCTGTTCCGTAACCTAAAAAAGCACTTGGGAGGTCAAAGATTTTCGACAAACGACGAGGTCAAAGCAGCTGTAGACGCATATTTTGACTCTAAGGAAGAATCATTTTTTTTCAACGGTCTAAATGCTTGGTAGGGGAGGTGGCAAAAGTGTATTGAACTTGATGGTGATTATGTAGAAAAATAAAAATATAACTGATTTAGTATGTGTTTATTTTCTTGGTTAGGCCGAGTACTTTTCAATCCACCCTCGTATCGAAATTGATACGAATTCGATACTCAAAATAAAAATCGATATATAGCGATTAAAAATATCAACGATATGTATTGATATTTCGAGAAATTATATATATATATATATATATATATATATATATATATATATATATAATTTTTTACCCAAGCCTACGTGGTAAGCGTTAGAAACGTGCAAATAACAAATTAAATAAAAAAACATGGCAAAATCCATTCTTCCGCGAGAGAGGCCTAAATCCAGTAGTAGATTTTAACAAGCTGATTTCGAAGAATAGGAGACCTCTATCTAACTAGCACGGATCTCTCACAGCAGATCTCTTGATGTGAGAAAAGAGAATAGGATTTATCAAACCCATAAGCACCAGATGCCTAACCTTGCAGAATCAAGTACATAAAGGGTAGTGAGACATGGTAAAGGATGTAAGCAAAATCTTAGTGCTCAGGGGTGAAAACGCGGCTGCATTTTAATTTTTAATCGAGGATAGATGTGGTACTGCATTTACGCATAATTTAAACTACGAACGCAATACACATAAAAATGCCATTGTAATTGGTCATTCAGCTTTCTAAGAAACAATGTTCTCGGACTTGCTGTTCAACTAGTCATAAACTCATAAATGACCTGAACGCGCGTGAGAGCGGACCTATTGTTTCATGCAATACGACAGCGTTGCTCCATACAGTAAGCGCTGACGGATTTACAATAATCACAGTCGACTAGTCGCGCGCTAGTCGACCGTGATGTTTGTATACAGATTATATTAAAACAGATTTGCACTCATACATTTAAACCTACTAATTAAGTAGTGTGTCTCTATCATACAGGAGAAATTCCTAGTGCTAACAAATAACTTTAAAAAAAGAAATGAAAAATCGAGATTCCACAGACTAAACAACTGACCAGTGAATATCCAGTTTGTAATCGCTTAAGATTTTTTATATAGAATAACTGTGACAAACGAGCACACAGTCCACCTGATGGTAAGTGATTGCTGTAGACATCTACATTTATCCCTGATTACGAATCAAAATGAAGATACGTTATCACCCGTGAGGACTAAGATGAAATGCCTCGTTTCCAGTAAAAAGGGTCTCCGGTTCTCTACACTCACCATGCGAAACACAGCAGCGTTAAGCTACTATTTCACGCTGGTATTCTGTGAGAGAGTGGTCCTTCCCCACGATCGAGCCGACCCATTCGTGCTACAACTATACTACTATAGTCAACCAAATATAAGAAATACATTTTGACAGCTGTCAGACTAATTTCACCAAGCATGCCAATCAAAAAATGGGAAAGTACAATATTCGATTCTTAAAAAATCTATATCGGTTATTTAGAGTTGGTAATCATTTCAGTTTGTTAATTTAAAACACAAGATTTTTAGTTTCCTTGTATTTGTTATTACTGCTTATTTCTAGAGGCAAAGTTATAAAAATTTAGATTAAACCAGATTAAAAATATATTTATCCAATCACTTTTAGTACAACTAGTTGAGTTGTCGTCGTTTAGATTAATTATTATTATTTGATTTTCAATGATGCAATCAAAATTATTGTCTCTTTCAGTCATCCATAATCAATTTTTTTCTACCACTTTTGCCCAATCCTAATTTGTGACATGAGCACATGCTTCAACGAATATAAAAGAAACAGTCCAAAAAGTCAAGCCGAGTCACAAAATAAGAAGACAAACGTAAAATCACAAAATTACACATAGCAAGCCCACGGAATGCCGGGAGATTGAAATTACGTAGTGGTTTTTTCATCGCGGCCGTGTATATGAGTTTTTTTGCCTACACAAATTTACGTCGAAGTTAAAAAAATAAACTTGTTTCATTCATGATTTATGTAACATAATGCATGAATAATAATCATGGAGCCGTGGTAGCTCAGATGATTAACGCTCGCTGTAAAAATAACAGCACGCGAGTAACCCGGGTTTGATCCCCGCCGGCACCAATGAAATTGTTAATTGCAATTTTAAGTGCTGATACCACGTGCTCGGCGGTGAAGGAAAACATCGTGAGGAAACCTGAATGTCTGAGGAATAAGAAAAATATATTTCGAAGACATGTGAATTTCGCAAACTCGCATTGGGGCAGCGCAGCGGACACTTCCTTGCCCTAAAACCCTCTCAGAAATAAGGGGAGACCTGTGCCCAGCAGTGGGACGTATATAGGCTGTAAATTTACTTTAATTTTATGTATTATAAGGAATTTTAAAAATAAAAATTTAATTAAACAAACAATACTTTAAAAAAATAACGATTCGATTATTTGAATGCTTTTACCGATTATTTAAATATTTTTGCCGATTATTCGCATAATAATGAATTTTAATCATCCAAACACTACGGTAACGTACACAGCGATACGACAATACGATATCATTGAAACGACGTCAGGTAAAAAAGTTGATACTGGTTATTTTTTAAATATTTTGCTTTGTTTGAAAGAATCGAATTTAGATTAGTGATAAAAAACTATACACGTTGTAATGAATATTGATAAGTTCATATATCTTCAGATTTACGTAAAAGGTTATTTTAAATCGTGCGAGTACGCTTGTGCAAAGTTATTGCGGATTGATTAATGTGAAACGTCAAAAGGTATTTCTTAGATTTGGTTGACTATAATATAACTGCAGCATGGCTCTGCTAAGTAACTTATCTCATTAAAATCAATCAGTACCTTGCCTCGAAGATTGGGAGTCACATCTAGCCCTTTCAGGCTTCGTGAGCTGCAGGCCGCATGTGATAAGGTACAGGTGTAAGTAGCCCGTCTCCTCCGAAGCCCAGATGAAGCTGACCTTATCCTCTGTGCTCGGCAGGAAGTAGAGGATATCATGGACATTGATCCAGGCGTCTGGAGCCGTCTCGGAGACTAGAACTTGGATTTGTTGCTGGAACCGTAAACATTTGTATAATTTTATGCTTAATTACCAAACATATAACTTTCAATAAAGTGTACTTCCCCGATTGCCATAGGGGGGAATCAATGGGGGAGGCCTATGTTCAGCAGTGGACTCTTATAGACTTTAATGGAATGGATAATTTTCAGTAAAAAGAAAGCCGCTCTAAGTCGGCGCTTTAATATTTTTAAATGAAACTAATTGTTCATGGATTTTATTGCGTTTAATCTAACTTTTAATTCCCGACGTTTCGAGTGATTTACGGCATGGTCACGCAGGGAACTGAGGTGTTTGACGTCCCAATATTAGCACGGCTACTTTCAGTTTTTATCGAATTCAAAAAGCAGTAGGTATTCAATTCGACTGTGTTTTTTATATGTTACCTCAAACTTTTCTCTGGGTTTTCGCTGTAGCTCAGATGGTTAGCGCTCGCTGTAAATTTCACAGTACGCGAGCAAACCGGGTTCGATCCCCACCGGCACCAATGAAATTGTTAATTTGAAATTTTACGTGCTGATTTACCACCCGTGCTCGGCTATGAAGGAAAACATCACGAGGAAACCTGCATGTCTGAGAAATAAGAAAAAATTGACAAAGTTTTATTGCAATCAGATGAACGGTATAGCAGCGCATAAAATACGAACAAACGAAAATTAATTGTTATATATTAGATATATGTGTATATAAAATACCAGTGTGCAGTTGAAGCTTAAATACAACTGTCTTGTTGGTCTAGTGTAGTGCAACTGCTGATTATGAGGATCTGGGTTCGAATCTCGGGTCGCGCCAAAACCAATTATAGTGTGAGTCAGGAAGTTGGCGGTGTCTCACCCCCGTGCCTCGTAAAGCACGTAAACAAAGAATATATACACTACGCGAAAAGAAACGACACTTAACCTATCACTCACTGCGCCCGCTATAACAAAAAACAGCTTTGTACCGAGGCATCCGTCGTCACCTCAGCTGGCGGCACTTGTTTTAAATATTTATGTTTCTCACGACCTTTCATTTATGTTTAAAGAGGTTTTAGTTACAGTCATTTAAAGCCGATAAGATTTTCGATAAGTAGAAACAATAACCATAACATATAAATGTTTATTTTATTTTGTACAGCTCTTTGTTTCTAACGGCTCTTGATAGTGTACTTACTGACGACAAATTTTATTTTATGAATGAAATATCGTAAGTTTTTATTTTACTTTTATGTCCTTACAATCAATACAACATATTCTTTCTAAATGAACCTAAATTATGCATGTAATAATTATAATAATTCTACTTTTACACTCGCAAACATTTGCTAAAAATTCGACAATAGACAGTTTGCGCGCGCTTACTAAACTCATTTTAAAAACCTTTTTGTGTATATATTTTATATTGTCTTCCTTTATTTTTCTTATACAATCATATAGATATAACATTTAGCAATTACTACTAAAAGTATTTACTATGGTATTCCAATAAGAAATATACTATTATCTTATTAGAATCTTATTAGAAATCTTGACCGTTACGAATTGTTCGCGTAGAGGTTTTTTATTTCTACTTTTTTTATTAATTGAAACATAGAAAGTTACTGTTCTTGTAACTTAAATCATTCAAAAACATTACGTAGTAAAGATAAATAACATTACTTACAGTTTTTTTTGAAAGAAAATCCAACTAAAATCACAATCACAAAACTTCAACGATTACGCAACCAACCGCACCGGCACGCAGAGCGAATGGCTGTTATATTTGATAATGTCTATGTAACCGAGTGAATATAATGTTACAGAATATTCTTTAGTTCATTCAGAATCGAATAAAATAGTGTTCAATCGAAAATATACTGTATTTTTATATCAATTAATGACGAAAATAGCAGCACGTAATGCGGACATGTATACATGTCCTCTGTACTTAGCGGTCACAAAACTTGGACCTGTCAACATGTCCACGGTATCTTAGGGGTTAAGCATGTGTGCACGTAAAATCGCTTGCGGCTATGTGTCTGGGTGTCTGGATGTGTGCGGGGGCCTTGAGAGGCGCGCGGGGCGTGGAACGGGCAGTCGCCGACCCCTGGCCGAGGGCTAGTAGTAATACCGATGTGTGTCGGTATTAGTTAATATGAGTATATTCGTCAAGTGATATAATATTTCAATTAATATATGAATATTACTGATATCTTAATGTACATATTAATATTCTATTAATGTAGGTATTAAGTTTATGTTACCAAGTAACGTTATTAGTTTTTATAGCCGTGTATGCTAGGTTTATATGCTTTGATAAATATTAATGTTGTTATTAAATAAATGATATTATAGTATATGTATAAGTATTACTGAAAGTGATTTTAAGTGATTAGAATTAAAATAAATTCCACTGCACAAAACAAGGGCCCTTGTTTTGTTAGTTTAATTTTTAATAATGTTTTATGATACCTAAATATATGTGAACTCATTTTAATGAAAGTCGATATGATCTTAACAATAATTATGGGGAAATGCCATGACAATAAAACTAATATATCGCCAATAATTTTATTATATTACATTAACTGAAATATACACTATTAAAATACCACTAGAGAGTCAAGAAATTTTAGATATCTATAAAGAGATTTTGTATTTGTTCATTGTTGTATTTATGGATTATTTCATTAGAAATAGAAATAAGTTATCTCATCAACACATAGGGAACAATTTGTTATCTTAATGTCCCAGGAAACCTGCATACCTTTGGATTTTCTAAAAAAATATACATGCTACGAATTTTTGCAATTGTTAGAAATAATAATGAAAATTAAAAATTAATCGAAAAATTCAAAAATATATAAGAGTAGATTATTTTTAAAGGATAGTAGGTAATACTGTTGCGTACTGAAATACTAAGTGTTGGTTAATTATTTAAGATTACCATGAACTGTCGTATATTCCTCATTTAATAAAAGTTGATTTAAAATTGAACGTATCTTTCACTACCCAAATACATAAGTTTACATAATATATAACACATACCTACTATGTATCTTCTTAGGTACAAGTCTATAATATTCCACTTCGGTTCGATATCAACCCTAGCGTTACACGCATCGACTCAAGGTCACCGGCGCCTAAGCTCTCACGTACAGGGAGTGTCACCGCTGTGACGTAAAGCCGTTGGTTCTGCGCCTGATCTCTCTCCGGTCGTGTCGGTTTACCGTCCCATCGGACTATGAGAGCAAGGAAATAGAGTGTTCACCTGTGCCTGCGCATACCCTCGTGCACTATAATCCTGTCCTGCGCCGACGGCTAGTCTCCATTGAGGCAGGCCGTCGTGGCCGTAATTCGGTCTGGAGGACATTATTATTAGTATTAATTTTATACGTACCTCTGTCTTTTGGTCGTTGTGCGTTGGTAAGCTGTTGGGCATTTCCGCGTCCTCGTAGCTGGTCGGCGAGCTGAACTCGCTCAACGGAATCAGGGCCAGCTCCAGACGCTGCTGCTCGCGATCGAGGAGTTGGACCCAAACGCTGCGAAGCAATTCGTTTATTTAAAAAACTAGTTTTTACCGATTACATCGCGTATATTAAACTTGTTTTATATTCCCGACGTTTCGTGCAAAGTACAGCAGTCCATCTCATGTAGTGACGGAGCCGATCCTGTACGTATTCACGGACTACAGACTTTCCGGAGCGTCTATTCTTTACATCAGTATCATCTGTGAACACATACAGGATCGCCCCCGTCACTACATAAGATTTGATATACCACAAATCCTCGCTAAAGAACACAGATTCCTTCCAAGGATGATTTGCGAGGCTATTAAAATTAAAAAACATCCTAATTTCAATAGTGAAGATAATTAAATTCCAATCCAAGCATACAACTGCAAGATTTCAAGATACCGTAAGTTCATACTGTATAGATTGGAACAAAAATTAATAAATTTAATCCGGAGATAGCCGTGGCTATTACGTTGGGACGTCGAACACCTGTACCCCCCTCCCCGCGCCTCCGTGAGTATGGGTGCTGTAAAGCGCTGTAAATCGTCTGGAATATAAAATAAATTAATATACCCGATAAAATCCGTACAAACTAGTTTTATTTAAATGCTTGACAAACAAGCACACAGTCCACCTAATAGTAAGTGCATGCTACGGACCATAGACATCTACATCTATCCTCAATTAAGAATCAAAACGCAGATGCGTTGTCACCCCTGAGGACTAAGATGGATTGACTCGATTCCAGTGAAACGTGTCTCCGGTTCTCTACACTCACCATACGAAACACAGCAGCATTAATCTGCTATAACACGCTGGGATTTTGTGCGTGGTCGGTCAGAATCCCCCGGTCGCCCGGCCGAGCCGACCCATTCATGCTACAACTATAATATAACTGCAGCGTGGCTCCACCACGTAAGATTATATATGCTCATAAATCTGTCATTCCCTTTACCGGTATTTGACAGCATGGAACTGCGGTGCTGCGATTTAATGATGATTTTGATGATGATGATTTAATTTAAATTGGCGAACTTCACACACATATCTTCAAAATAATTTTTTTTATGTCTCAGACATGCAGTTTCCTAAAGATGTTTTCCTTCACCGACGAACATGTGGTGAATCAGCACTATAAATTACAATTAACAATTTCATTAGTGCCGGTGGGGATCGAAACCGCGTTACTGTGAAATTTACAGCGAGCGCTAAAGCCCTGAGCTACCATACCTCTAAAATAGAAAGCATAACTGTAATTACTTACAATTTCCCACACGGAGTCCACCCAACCCTGGCCAGGTATTCGAACCATGGAAACACTTCCTTCAGGGGCTGCCTCATTTCGTACCACCGGATATCCGTAGCCTCCATGCATTCGCTTCTAGAGTCTGCAGAAGCTGCAATTTAAGAAAAAATTAAATAAATATCACTGAAATGGGAGATCATTCACAACACAGTTTACAGAACATTATTTTTCGGATCAAGTCAACTACAAAAATACCGGTAATTACAGTGTGTGCCAGCCGTTCCTTCGTGATAGTAATCCAAAACGGTGGTGGAGGCCACCTTCTGCAGTCTGAAAGTCACCAGTTTCAGCGTAGACTTAGCGTTCGGCGTGCCCGCACGTGGAAACCTGGGGAGAAGAGAATAATGTTATGATGCTCGGTGGTGAAGGAAAACATCGTAAGGAAACCTGCTCATCTCAGAAACAAGAAAAATACGTGTGGCACTCGGTGACTGCCGCGGTAAAGCTATTGCATAGCATTTTTTATCAACTTATGCAATTATAATTATTTATTTATTTTATTTATACAGTTAAGTCTTTGATATTAAATCAAGTTACACTTTTTGAGCGTGGTGACCGATAAGAAAACAATTTTTTCTCTCTTATTGAATAAATGAGAAGTTAATATTGTTTAAAATATTTTTACTATATTACAATACATGTAGGTTATTCAGGAATTTTTATCATTGAGTTAGCAGCTAGTGTACACGCATACGTCTAGTCGCACGCGCACAAACACCGTGCCGAAGTCCGCCGAGTGCCGAAGTCTGCCGAACTGAAACGACGTTAGACGATGCACAGCTTGTAACGCCACACCTCCGTGCCCGTCGGAGTGGGGAGCGTGAGGTTTTTTTCGTTACGGAATTTCTGGATTCGGTCTCCGCGCTCAAGGCCCGCGATAGAAGCTATGCAATAGCTTAACATTTTGAAGACATGTGAAGTCTACAGTCCCCTCTCTGTATATCCTAGTTTCACTTACATATTTAGTAAAGAACTTTCACAAATATGAAACAAACGAAGAAAGGTTTATACATTGTAGAACCATGCTGCAGCTATATTATGGTTGTAGCACAAATGGATCGGCTTTACCCCCTCTCTCAAAGAATACCAGCGCAAACGTGTGCATCGTATGGTGAGTGTAGAGAACCGGAGATCCTTTTTACACGAAACGAGGCATTCCATCTTAGTCCTCAGGGGTGGCAACGCATCTGCATTTTGATACCTAATCGAGGATGAATGGAGATGTCTATGGGCCACAGCATCCACGTAACATCAGGTGGACTGTGTGCTCGTTTGTCACACTTATTCTAAAAAAAAAGGAAAAAGAGAGAAATGATCCGTCGAAAAGATTTAAACATTTCAATTACGCCAACATTGAATGTTGTAGTCACAGCACAAGATATTTAATTATTTGACTACCTCATTTAAAACTATTTATTGCCACCAAAATTCTGACAGACTGTCGGTCACTTCTTGTAGAAGTTTTCTTGCAAATCTCCTAGCATGAAGGTTAGAGAACAGAAGAACGATCGCCGTAGAAAATAGTGTCCCAGAAATATGGACACCATAAGTGAGGCGCTGCGATCGCTAAGTTCGCAGTCATTTTCAGTCTATTTTTCCGATCAGATGCTAAACCACTTGCACATCCACGTACAATAAAGTGCTGCTGTGGCTCGCTGTAAACCGCGAGCAAACCGAGTTCGATACTCGCTGGCACCTATGAAATTGTTAATTTCAATTTTAAGTGCAGATTTGTCCGACCCGTCGTAGCACGTGCTCGGCGATGAAGAAAAACATGGTGAGAAAACCTGCATGTCTGAGAAATAAGAAAAAAATATTTCGAAGACATGTGAAGTTCGCCAACACGCATTGGGGCATTGCAGCGACCACCTCCTTGCCCTAAAACCTTCTCAGAAATGAGGGGACGCCTGTGCCTAGGAGTGAGACGTACATAGGCTGTAACTTTTATACGCAAGTAGGTACATTAATTTTATTTGGGATCTATTAATGGCGTCGTTACTTAGACTTAAGATAATCATTAAAGACCGTTTATTTTATCTTATCAATATTTCTATTTTAATAAAGTCTCTAATTTTTTTAATAAAATTTAGTCTAGATCACTTATGGTATTACTCTATTTGTTCGTGAAGCTTTATTACAATCGGTTTAGCCAGTTCTAAGATTAGCTCGGACAGACATACAAACGAAAATTTTAAAACGGTAACCATTTACAAAACTTTCATGTCGCAATAGCATGTAAATATTTTATACAAATATATTAACTAACGAAATCAACAATCATTAAGAAGAAAACTCTCAGAACGTGTCGTAGCTCAAAAAAATAGCAAAACCGGACTGAATTTATTTTTATAGTCTATGGCATGTTGTTATCATAGTTTCCAATGACAAGTTGGACTGAGGTTATAGAACGTACAATAAACGCATATCGCAAAGTATATTTCTTTTGCAGTCTTTACCGTCTTGTGTGAATCTATACTTATACGCGCCTCTATTCACCTCTTATTCGCATACTATCGCTATTAGCAATAGTATGCGAGCAAGAGGTGAATAGAAGCGACGCCATTTTCAATCCCATTCTTTAACCGCACGGGTAACCGCAAAAGATTCGCAGGACCACTAACACCGGCGCCCTCTTCTTCGATGTCGCAAAAGCGTTTGACAAAGTCTGGCACGACGGCTTGCTTTACAAGCTGTACAAAGTCAACGTGTCTGATAGGCTCACTCACACCATCAGAGCCTTCCTTGCCAACCGCCATTTTCACTACCGAATATAGTTCCTCAAGGCTCTATCCCCTCCCCACTCCTCTTAACACTATTCACGAGTGACATCCCTAAAGACCAAATAGTTAACACTGCTCTTTTCACTGATGACATGGCACTATGTAGTACCACTTCTACGGTCGTATAGTGGCTACGTAAGAGAATACTACTAGGCCATATCATCCCGAAGGTGTAGAAGGCGACAGAGGGAAATGAAACTGGAGATGGGCGGCAGCATCCTTCCAAAAACAACGCAAAATAATAAAAAACTGCGGTTGTCAAATCGTCAAGAGTGGCAAGTTTGGCAAAGATCAAATAATGGCTTCTCAATAATTTTATGAAAATGTAATGTACATACACAAAACTAAAAGTAGTTTTACAAAAATAAGTGATATTAATTCTGTAAATACTAGGAACAGACACAAGCTAGTAGTACCAGTTACTCTGTAATTCATTCTTGGTGCGATGTATACGCATTTACAACAAAATCTCAAAAAATATACAAAATTAGACCTGCTTAAAGTTCAAAAACTTTATTAAACTAAGTTTGTATAAAGAAGATTATTATAATAATATAAAGGAATTAATGTATAATAACGCCTGGGCAAAGTGATCGCTACCAAGCTATTTTTAAATTGTTTTGCGTTGTTAATTATGTAACATATATGATTGTAAGCTGTTCTTTTTTAAAATTCCAGCTGGGTTTCGTGCTCGTTCTTCCCAGGACAGAGGTTTTTTTCTCGAACCAGTGGTAAATTAAAATAGTAACTTTCAATAAGTATTATTTATAGGGTATATTCCGAAATACAACGCAGTGTACTGTCCAATGCAAATGACGTCATGAATCGACGCTATACTGGTGATTCGTTCCAAAACATTGGACAGTATATGACGTCATACTTTTGCGCCATTTGGAAAAGTGTTGGCGATTATTTTGTCATTTTGTGCTCTAAAAGTCATTATATCCTCCTAATGGATATACCATCAATTATTCTATAACTTTTTGTATTTGAATAAATAGAAACAAATTCTGGCATGCTTCATTCGGCAAACACACAATTAAAAATTGTTTTATTATGGCCGGATATTCGACACAATATGGCGGCGGCACGCTAGTACAATAAAGTGTCAAATGATGACGTCATTTACATTGGACAGTACACTGCGTTGTATTTCGGAACATACCCATAATCTATATAGAGTTAAAAAAAGTTGTGTGTATTGTGTTTCTATTTCTGTTACGTTCCTAGCTATGAGGCAATCCATAAAAATGCTATGTCCAGTAGACTTTCATAGATTGTATTTTTTAAGCTATTGCATAGCTTCTATCGCGGGCCTTGAGCGCGGGGACCGAATCCAGAAATTCCGTAACGAAAAAAACCTCACGCTCCCCACTCCGACGGGCACGGAGGTGTGGCGTTGAAAGTCGTGCATCGTCTAACGTCGTTTTAGTTCGGCAGACTTCGGCACTCGGCAGAGTTTGGCACGGTGTTTGTGTGCGTGCGACTCGACGTATGCGTGTACACTAGCTGCTAACTGAATGATAAAAATTCCTGAATAACCTACATGTATTGTAATATAATAAAAATATTTTAAACAATATTAAGTTCTCATTTATTCAATAAGAGAAAAAAAATTGTTTTCTTATCGGTCACCACGCTCAAAAAGTGTAACTTGATTTAATATTAAAGACTTAACTGCATAAATAAAATAAAGAAATAAATAATTATAATTGCATAAGTTGATAAAAAATGCTATGCAATAGAGCTTTACCGCGGCAATCACCGAGTGCCACACGTATTTTTTTTATAGGATAGGGTGACAAACGAGCACACAGTCCACCTGATGGTAAGTGGTTGCTGTGGCCCATAGACATCTACATCTATCCTCGATTACGAATCAAAATGCAGATGCGTTATCACCCGTGAGGACTAAGATGGAATGCCTCGTATCCGGTAAAAAGGGGTCTCCGGTTCTCTACACTCACCATAGGAAACACATCAACATTAAGCTACTATTTCACGCTGGTATTCTGCAAGAGCGTGGTCCTTCCCGGGTCGAGCCGACCCATTCGTGCTACAACTATACTACTAATATAACTGCAGCATGGCTCTACCACGTATAACTATCGTACTATATAATATCTATGTAATAAATGAATGGAATTAAGAGGATAAGTAACATCTAATACCATGAAAAAGTTCAGTTGCTGGGTGATTTACTGTGGCATTGCAGGGCCCTACCTCTACCATACTGTGGCTATATTATGGTTGTAGCACGAATGATCAACGGTGTAAGGACCACCCTCTCACAGAATAACATCGTCAATAGCAGCTTAATGCTGTTGTGTCTTGTATGGTGAGTGTAGAGAACCGGAGACACTTTTATTGGTAGCAAGGTATTTCATCTCAGTTCTCAACGTTGTCAACAGTTACTAGAGAAGTTTTGTATACAGCAATTATCCAAGACAACAATTAAAGTAAAATCTTTGGATTTTAAATTATATCATATATTTTTGCCGAAATAAAGAAACAGTATTTATATACACTATATATTTTACATGGTAGAGCCATTGTGCAGTTATTTTAGTAGATTAGTTGTACCGCGAGTGGGTCGGCTTGACCGGGGAAGGACCACGCTCTCACAGAATACCAGCGTAAAATATTAGCTTAATGCTGCTGTGTTTCGTATGGTGAGCGTAGAGAACCGGAAACCCTTTTTTAAGAAATGGGACATTCCATCTCAATCCTAACGGGTGACAACGCATCTGCATTTTGATTCGTAATTGAGGATAGATGTTGATGTCTATGGGCCACAGCAACCATTTACCATCAGGTGGGCTGTGTGCTCGTTTGTCACACTATCCTATAAAATAAAAAATAAATAAATAATATTACATATAACAGTCGTAAATGCATATACAAGTATTAGAAATTCAAAACCGTTTACGTGTTCGCACTATAAAACTTCTCAGTCGCTGCTATCGTAAATGCAATTTCAATACGTTACTGGTAAGTATCGCGTTATCCTTTGAGTGTATAGAAGAGTGTTAAGAGTGTATAGATTCTTAAACGAGGATAGATGTAGGTGTATATGGGTCACATCACTCCTCGCTTACCATCAGTTGGACTGTGTGTTCGTTCGCAACCCTTTTTTATATATAAAACACACTCTTGTTTATACCACTCTATCAAATAACTATAGTATATACTATAGTATATACTATAATATACATTCAGTGTACAAGTCTATAAAACTGAGTCTATCAAGCACGAAGTTATCTTTTGGCGAAGATTGAAAACACGGTTTACTATAAATTATTTACGTTCCACATACCTGAACTCCTCGACCTCCCCACTGACGCTCTGCGATGACGGGAAACTGAATATCTTCACCTCACTCTCGTCCACCTCCTCGTAGACTATCCTGAACACGTCATCTGTGTAGAGAAGCAACAGTAATTAACAACGTTCATACATAGCTCTCAGACCAAAACGAACACATTATAATTTCAAATTACACAAGCAAACAAAGTTCGATCGCCGCCACAATAAAATTTCTCGGTAAATACTTTCTATTATAAAACATTCCTTAATCACAGTGAATAATTAGAAGTAAAGTACCCGGATGGCCGAGCTTTGCTCGGTTTTTATTTTTGAAATTACATTTATAAATTACATACTGATGAAACTTAAATAATATTTTTTGATCTTATTGACAGAATAGAAAAAACTAACTATTATTTGTAAAAAATCATGAGTGCAATTAGTTTTATTAAAATTTTCATATTTTTAAAAATTACTAAAAAAAAGGGCTTAAAATAATAGATTTTCTCACAAAAGAGGAGAACTTGAAAAAAAAAAGGCAAAAAAGCTAGACCCAGAGACAGGACGCGAACCACCGAACTCCGATATCACGCCCGACCGACATCCCACCTGAGCTATAGCGATCGTTATTGATCTGTCGAAATTTACCTTCTTATATTGTAGCAGTTTTTTTATTGCCTGAAAACGCGGACAAAAGGACATTTTCTAAAAATAAATCCTAGCTAGATCGATTTATTGCCCCCGAAACACCTCGGACACTAAATTTTATGAAAATCGTTGGAGCCGTTTCCGAGATTCCGATTATACAACATGTAACAAAAACCCTGTGGTTCCCGTTAACTGCATTATCAGAATCAGTATCCAAGCATGTGGAAATAATTTTTTTTTTCAAAAAAAAAACGCATTTAAAAAATTAATTTTAATGAAAAAAAAAAATTTTTTATGTGGTTTTATTATCTTTGCATTGGCCGAGGAGTAAGAGGATTGTCAAAGACCCCGCATTACCGATACTCCTGTGAGTTAGAGGAAATAAAACCACATGCAATTTGCAAAATAATTTTTTTTCATTAAAATAAAAAAAATAAATGCGTCTCACGTTAAAAAACGGGAACCACAGGGTTTTTGTTACATATTGAAAAATATATATATATATATATATATATATATATATATATATATATATATATATATATATAAGAATTGCTCGTTTAAAGGTATATACAAGATAACACCAGAATAGATATACTATATCGCCTCAATCAACCCTGGACTCAATATGCTAAACAGCTACAACAAACATTCAAATTTTTTTTATAAACAGTCAAGTTAGATTTTTGAGCAATGTAACACAAATAACTTCAATGAAACAAACGTTAAATCTCATTTTGTCACAGTCACTTTGACTTAAAAGTGATAGAGACAGCATGAGACTTAACAGCGTCTTGAAAATGAGCAGCGTTTGAGTATTTAGGCATTAGTGAACTAACATGATTTAATTCATCATGTAACTAAGTAGCTTCGAAAGAACACTAAATAATTTTCCCCCTAATTCATAAACGTTTTTAAACACCTGATTAGTTAAATAATGTTTTGTCACTTTCTAGCAACAAGTAATTCGCAAAGGTTACAATGTGACAAAACACTATACCTGTTCGCTAAGCGAGCGCGCGACATGTTATACTCCCGTTCGCTCGGGACCGTAATGGCGGGAAAATTTGCAAATTAGCAAATTTTTTGCTATATTGCAAATTTTGCTATATTTTCACTTTGAGACAATATTTATGGATAAAACTTACAGGAATTCTTGTTGAATGTATAAACTATCGAATAAAATTATTTTTGGTTGTTAGAAATTGTAATAAAATACGTAAATTACCCTGTATAGCATAGTAGTAGTTTAAACTTCAATTTTAGTGACAAAATTACTACTAATTTGAATTCTACACTTTTGTTTTTAGAGAAATTTATATGAAAATGTTTGGAAATATGTATATTTTTATGTTTTATGTGTTTGTATTCGTTACTCATACCAAAATATTAAAATATTAAAGAATTAAAAAAAAATAATAATAATATTTTATCTGTATGACATTTCGAACAATATTTCAAACATATTTTTGTGTGAATTTGAAATAAATACAACGTCAAGTTATTTAAAATATGTAAGAAAACTATTTTTACTTACATTTTACACTAAAAATAAATGAGAATTTGAAAAATAACACATTTATGACCCAACCGCCAAAATGTAGCTTCCATATTTTGAAGTACTTTTGGCAATTTACTTTTCACTTTTTTATACCACAAATTATATATCTACGTGTTTACTATATTACAAGGAATATAAAAAAGTATAACACTTTCGTTTTTAGTCCAGACGCAAATATAAAATTCTATAAAAAAGACGGAGCACCTTCATCAAAACGACACGTGGAACGCCGAAAGTTCAGAGTGATTTCTTTTTTTTTTCTAAGAAACATTGCCAGGTTATGGTTTAAAATAAAAGAGCATATCTTTGTCTTTGATACTATTATCTATTGCATAGTGTCTTTGGTTTTGTTTAAAACGAAAAAATTGTTTTTTCATAGGTACGCACGTTTACATAATTCTGATCAAATTAGATCACTACTTGGCGGACGTAAGGTAGGTATTGTACGATCAAAAGTGCGCATGGCTTGGTTAACAGGTCTAATCAAAGTGTTTAAATTTTACAACAACAGCCAACAACAGTTGTTTGTTTGCAGTAGTTGTTTGCAGAATGTAACAGCCTTTCAAAAGTCTATAGACCACATAGGCCTTCCCAATAGGTTATATATATTTTTATAACTTTATATTTGCCATAGCTACCACGCTTCGTCCAGCGAATCCGCTTGGGGTTAGAAGCGCAGTTTTTATTTCTAAGTTATTATTAGGAAGACGCTGCTGCCTATCTCCTGGTTTGTTTCCCTCTATCGACAGGGTCCAGACTTCTGGCACTTGATTCAGCTCATCATCTCACCAGCATCACTTCCAAGATCGTCCCTTGACCGAACTCAGGCAAAGATCTACAGAAAGAGAAAGGTCTTCGATAGTTCATGAACACTTACCATCGCACTTGGGCTGCCACCAGAATCCGGTGTACCGTGAGAACTCCTCCTGTGTGACGTAACATGGGACTCCGGCCTGCCGTGGATCGTCTGCTAACCTGTAACATCCATCTACATTCTCATCTGGAAGGTAGTAGCATGAACAGTTATAAGGACAAAGGGAAGGACCACCCTTTCACAGAATACCAGTGGGAAATTGCAACTTAATGCTGCTGTGTAACATTTGATGAGTATCAGAGACTTTTTACTGGAAATGAGGCATTCCACCTTGACGCATCTGCATTTTTATTCTTAATCTAGGATATATGTAGATGTCTATGGGTCACAGCATCCACTTACCATCAGGTGGACTGTGTGCTTGTTTGTCACCCTTATTGAATACCACCGGTGGTCTCAAGATTAAGTCACATACATTTAGTAGTATCATCAAAACCTCATCCTCATAATCATTCTTCTTTTATACAATCAGAAAAGAGAAATTGTAAAAGCCAAAAGTCAACACTAATGTCACAAAATATGGACTACCACATGGAGCATTGGCGGAGGAAATCTTCCCTTTTTTTCTTCAGTCTAACAAGCATTTCTGAATAGACTTTACTTTCATAGACTCACCGATCGGGTTCATGACCCTTGCAGGCGTAAGTGAGCCGGGTTGGTCGCTGGAGAGCTCCGCCCGCCAGCCATATATCGCCCCTCGCCGCGTGGGCCACTAGAGTTGGAGCTCGAGGGCACATCGCCGGAGTTAGAGCTGCACCTCCACCAGTGCTTAACGACCGTGGGACTAGCGGTGGTGACTGTAAGGAAAACGTGTTTCCAGTTGACATCATGATGTATGTACAAACACATCAACAGAATCTAGGGATACCTTAATCCTAAATTATTTACGACTTTATACTATACTAAAGCTTTTTAATTTCCATAAAAAGTTTATATACAGATTGAAACTTTTTTTATTCTATTTACAAATATTAAAAATTAATTTTTATGGCGATTAAAAAATTACATTTTTAGTTAAAACAAAAAAAAGCTTTATGTTTCTTTTATTTTTAATTAAAATAACCTATCATTCTTCCATGTACTATATCAAAAAATTCTGCATAGATTTTTAAATATTTGATGAAATATAAAATATCCCCAGATTCTGTTGACGTGTTTATGTCAGAGATAATGGGTAGAAAATTAGAAAAATATTAAAAGTAAAAATAAACATGAACTACATGTTTTGCGGTTTAAGACCCCCCCATACCCCATATCCTCAAGAATGTATCATAATACGCAACAAAGGGAAATATGTTGTTTTAAAAAAATGATATTTTAAAGTTTTGAGGTTGTTCGAGGTTATAAACAAGAAACATAATTATAGCCTATGAAAAGCAGGTAATATGATAGAAAGTTCTCTACTTCTAACATTGTATTAAGAGACGGAAATTATCCATATACTGAAGAAAACTGGCCGTACACTAGTGGTATACGAATATCCACTACCCCATATAGCTTTGGTAGGGTACACACAGTCTACCTGGTGGTAAGTGGTTGTCCATAGACATTTACATCTATCCTCGATTACGAATCAAAATCATTACAGCCCTTCACAAGTCCACTGCTGAACATAGGCCTCCCCCAAGTAATGCCACAAAGCACGGTCCTGAGCCACCTGCATCCATCGACTTCCTGCATGTCTTACCAGGTCGTCACTCCATCTAGTGGGGGGTCGCCCTACACTACGCCTACCGGTACGAGGCTGCCACTCGAGAACCTTTCTTCCCCATCGGTTATCGGTTCTTCGAGCTATATGGCCGGCCCATTGCCACTTCAGCTTACTAATCCGTTGGGCTATGTCGATCACTCTGGTTTCACTGCGGATATCCTCATTTCTGAGTCTATCACGCAGTGAAACTCCGAGCATAGCCCTCTCCATAGCTCGCTGAGCGACCTTGAGCGTCCTCATACGGCCAGCGGTGAAGGACCACGTCTCAGATCCGTAAGTCATCACTGGCAACACGCACTGGTTGTACACTTTAGTTTTCAGAGATTGAGGTATACCTGATGAGAAGATGTGTCGTAATTTCCCGAACGCTGCCCAGCCGAGTTGAATCCGTCGATTGACCTCTCGGTCGAAGTTGGACTTACCTCGTCGGACTATTTGTCCCAGGTAAACGTACTCGTCAACAACTTCGAGCATAGTGCTCCCAACAATTACCGGCATAAGTGTGACATGGACATTAAACATGATCTTTGTTTTGTCCATGTTCATCTTAAGACCTATCCGTTGGGAGACACCATTGAGGTCATTGAGCATAGTGCTAAGGTCCTCCAGCGATTCTGCCATAAGGACTATATCGTCGGCAAATCGAAGGTGAGTGATGTACTCGCCATTGATGTTAATACCGTATCCTTTCCAGTCCAGTAGCTTGAAAACGTCTTCCAACGCAGCGGTGAAGAGTTTCGGGGATATAACATCACCCTGTCTTACACCTCTCTGCAGTTGGATAGGTTTCGTACTCTGGTTCTGTACTCGGATAGCCATCGAAGCCCTACTGTACAAACACTTCAGCACTTCAATATACCGACAGTCAACTAGGCACCGCTGAAGAGACTGTAGCACCGCCCAAATTTCGACGGAATCAAAGGCTTTCTCATAGTCCACATACGCCAGGCAAAGTGGCAGATTGTACTCTTCGGACTTCTGTACAATTTGCCGAAGGGTATGTATGTGGTCTATGGTACTGAAGCCTTTTCGGAAACCGGCTTGTTCGGGAGGCTGGAAGTCGTCGAGTCTGCGTGCGAGACGATTCGTAATGACTTTTTAAAACAGCATGTAGACGCAGCTCAGAAGGGAAATCGGTCTGTAGTTCTTCAAGATAGCGCTGTCGCCTTTCTTAAAGAACAAGACCACCGCGCTTCTGCTCCACGCCTCCGAAGTAATGCCACCATGGAGGACGGAATTGAAGAGCTTCTGTAGGACTTCAAGTACTGGTGTTCCACCCGCTTTCAGAAGCTCCGCTGTAATTCCACCCTCGCCCGGGGCCGGCCGGGGGGGGGTTTTAAGGTGGTGGAGAGCCATTCTAATCTCGCTCAGACTGACGTCCGGGATATCATCGGAATAGTGTCGGATAAGACTTGATGTTGGATCGTTACTCACACTTGCGTGTGGCTCCAACGATGATGTGTACAGCTGCCCATAGAACCTCTCAATCTCATTCAGAATCTCAGGTGTCCCGGAAACGATGTTGCCACACTCAGTCTTCAGCCTTGACAGTTGGCTCCTTCTGGCAGACAGATCTCTGGCAAAGACTTTGGAGCCCTGGTTCCGCTCGATCGCTTCTTTAATACGAGCAGTATTAAAGTTGCGTAAGTCTCGCCGCATGCATTTGGAGATCTGTCTGTTCAGCTGCCTGTATGCTGTCAAATCTGTTGACGATTGCAGCCTCATCTCCCGTCTAACAGCCATGAGATTAAGAGTGTGGTCGGAGAGTTTTTGTGTTCTTCTGCGGCGGGTCTTGCAGAACTTAGCTCCGACCGCATGGATAGTTTCCACGAGCTTGTCATTCATATCGTCCACTGCATTGCAATCCTCTAGGCACTGAAAGCGGTTTTTTAACTCGAGCTGAAAGATTTCGGGATTCTGGATTAGAGCACGAGGGGGACGGAGCGTTAACTTCATTAGACGAGACCTCTCCAACTTAACGTTTAGGTTTAGTGTGCCTCTAACCATTCGGTGATCGCTGCCAGTTTTTACCCTTGCGATCACTGAGACATCACTGAACAGTTGGCGTCTGGTCGTCATAATGAAGTCAATCTCATTTTTTGTCGAACCGTCGGGGCTCGACCAGGTCCACTTCCTGTGGGGCCGCTTCTGGAAGAAAGAGTTCATCATAAAGAGTCCCTCTTTCTCCATAAAGTCGGCCAGCTGCTGGCCCCTTCGGTTCCGTTGCCCTACTCCAAATTTCCCCACCTTCAGCTCACCGCTTTCTCTTGTGCCCAGTTTTGCGTTGAAGTCTCCCATCAACACCGTGTAGTGGGTTTTGGAGGAATGCATGGCTCTGGAAATATCCTCATACATTTCCTCCACCTCCTCATCGGGATGTGCCGAGGTTGGTGCGTAAACCTGTATGACCTTCAGCGAATACCGTTTGGTGATTCTGAGTATCAGGTACGCGACCCTCGTCGACACACTCCCAATCTTTACAACGTTGTTGACGAGAGACTTGTGGACGATAAATCCGACACCTCCTTGGGACAGATGGTCGCCCTCCCGGTGGTAGAACAAGTTGCCGGACTCGAGGATTGCCGTATCCTCCCCCTCTCTTCGGACCCCGGATAATCCAATAATATGCCAGCGCAACTTGTCTACCTCTTCTTCCAGCTCCAGTATCTTCTCGTCAGTCCTCAGGGTGCGTGCGTTATATGTTGCCAGGTCGAGTCGTCGTAGGTGGCAACCGAACCTCCACCGGAGATTCTTAGCACCCCCTGCCCCGCCGTTACCATGGTCGCCACCGTATCCAGGAATAGCGGGGCCGCCGGGGACTGGGGGCCGTTTTTTTTGCGTCATTATTCATGGGGGTATATTTGCCATAGTTGCCACGCTTGGCGAGCGGGTTGGCAACCGCAGTTTTTTATTATAACACAGTTGTTGTTATCAGGAAGATGCTGCTGCCCATCTCTCTCTGTCGCCTCTTACGACACCCACGGGAAGATATGGGGTAGTGGATATTCTCAACCGCCACTACACGGCAAACAAGCGCCTTCTTCTTCTTCTTCCCCAGTTGAGCCGACCCATTTGTGCTACAACTATACTACTAATATAACTGCAGCATTGCTCTACCACGTTTAAAAATATTTGTATTACAATAAATGTACGTATGATATCTAAATTCTTTATCTAAAAAACTTGGAGAATTTTTTGTAAAAATGAAAAAGTTATAAGATAAATGGTAATTGATTATCTTAAATTCAAATAACGCCAAATAGATCCTACTTACTATGCTACAAATGGGTCGGCTCGACCGGGTAAGGACTATGCTCTCACAGAATACCAGTGTTTGGTTATCTTTTTAGCTGTGATTCTGTTTCTTGTGGTTATTCCCCGAGAACCATCAAACAAGAGTATCCTGGAAGGTATCCTGCGGTAAAGTGAAGTGCTCTCTCGTTCTCATCTCTTACCATAGGAAACACTGGAGCTGGTATTATACTGTGATGGTATTTTACGGAAGTATTCTGTAACACCATGGTCCTCCTTCCAGGTCAAGCCCACCGACCTGTTCTAGTGGCATAATACATTGGCAGTATGGCTCTACCGTGACTTTAAACTGTACATAATTTACTTATATTATAAAGATAGTGTGACAGATTAGCTAGAATTTTAAGTGCTGATTTACCACGAGCTCGGCGGTGAAGGATACCATCGTGAGGAAACCCGCAAGTTTGAGAAATAAGAAAAAAGATATTTCAAAGACATGTGAAATATGCCAACATGCATTGGGGCAGCACAGTGGACATTTCCTTCTCCTAAAATCCTCTTAAATATGATAGAAGGCCTGTAGCCAGCAGTGGGACGTATTTAGGCTGTAACATTACATTTATAGAAATAGTAGATATAATACCTTACCTGGTTAGTCCCTTCCTCCGCCACAAAGAGTGAGGAGGCGCATGGAAATAGCACGCGACCAGTGCTCTGGTGCAGTTCGTATGAGGCTATACCCCAAGCGGCTACCCTCTGTCTCTCCCAAAGCAGCTGCTCTTCGCGAGACCATTTCCCAGAGGTAACACCAAGCGCGATGTTGGACTCGATTAGGGGCTTCCAGTCTAATCTGGTGCCAAGATTGTTACACTATCACTCTGTGCAGTTTCTCTAAGTAGGTCACCACACCAATCGATCGATCGTCGGTTGATGCCATAGAATGAAGCCGATCGATGTGGTAGCAGACGAAGTGATCGACGGATACTGATCGATAAAACGATGTTCAATCATCAATTGGCAGTTAATCGATGTGGTTGTGGGCATCATCTGTATCTTTCAACATGCATTCAGAAGAGGACAATAGAGAGCAGTCGGTGGAGCGGGGTGGGTTCTCGAATAGTCAAGGAACTTGATCGACGTTGACTTATCCATTCTACCATCAATGTACACCATCAATCGATTGGTGTGGTAGAAAATATCGATAGACTTTGACTAATCCATTCCAATAACGATCGACAATCGAACGACTGGTAACACCTTAGGACAGTGCGATTTGGGACCTCTTTTTATAAAATAAACGTGACAACCGAGCACCCAGTCTACCTGATGGTAAGTGAATGCTGTGGCCCATAGACATCGACATTCATCATAAATTAAGAATCAAAATACAGATGCATTGTCACCTTTGAGGAATAATAAGATGGAATGCCTTGTTTCGAGTAAAACGGATTTCCAGTTCTCTAACCTCACCATACACAGCAGTGTTAAGCTGCTAATTTATGCTGGTGTTCTGTGAGAGTGTGGTCCTACCTCGGTCAAGCCGAATCATTCGTGCTACAACTATAATATAGCTGCAACATGGCTCTACCACATATGAAAGGATTTCAACACAGCTTACTGTCGGGTGGGATTGTTAGTCAATCACTAGTGGTCACAAGAAGCCTAATGGATAACCATTAGGCTTATTGTGACCACTAGTTATTATATTGTTTAAAAAAACCCGATTGCATAAAATATCACTAATAATACCTATCTATTATTATACTATTATATAAGAACTTTATCACAGCTTTATCCATAGAATACTATAATACACAATATAATGGCTGTCAACCTTATTTTGTAGGAGGATTGGCGTCGCTGGGAGCACACATACAAGCAATTACTTCGTATTATCAGTTATAACTACTACAAACACATTTTAGACACATAGTTTAGTTTTTGACACATAAATGTTTCTTTATTTTTGTTTCTAATATTCACAAAATATAAATAGTTTCGACTTACTGGTTGTAGCATATGTCTCCTTTATTTAAATTCCATTTCCCGCTATTCTTTCGACACGTAATGATTACACAATTTGCCATTTTTTTAATAATTTGCATGCAGCGACGCTTGACACGAAAATTGGACATTTATACGTGTGAATTGACACGTTAGTGGCGCACTAGCTCCGCCAACTCCCCCTTTCCATTGTGTATGTATTATAGTATTCTATGGTTTTATCTAATTTTTGAAAATTTAAGTGAAAATTATTGCTAATTACCTTTTCGTTACAGATCCAATTATTAAAATGAAAAATGATTAAAGAAACCTGAAGATGATTTTCAAAGATCTATTCAATGATATTTCACTTGAAATAGTTCTTTGACATTAATTTTTTGCCAGATTGTCGCCATATTAAATTTTTGTTACTGTCATATCTTTAGTGACAATCAAGAGATTTTAAAATCGATTGATGTTAAGAATCATCAAAAACAGCTCACGCATGTGGTCTCTAGTGTGCCACAAAGGAACAAACATACATACATATATAGGCTGTTAAACACATTACTATCCTTTGCGACGCGCAGTCGGGTAAAAAGAACAAGTGCCCCAAGAATAATACAAAATCAGCCCTCACACGTAAATGCGCGTTTTACAGACCATATTGAACATACATGATAACATATAATACTGCGAGTTTTTTCTGTTCAACATTTCATCTATTGTATGAGTGGATTAGAAATGATGCACCAGCATCTATGAGCTTTAACATAATCATTATTCCTTCTGTCAAGCATGACCTCACCACTGTGGGGAAACCCATGCTCAGCAGATAAAAAAGAAAGGAAGAAAGCCCACCAATTCGACAGAGCAGCGCGTCGAACGAACTACTACATTGTTACGTGATAGAGCCACAAAGCAGCATAATTATTATTGTAGCACATATAGAATGGTTCGACCAGAGTAGTACCACACTCTCACAGAATACCAGAGTAAAATAGCAGCTTAATGCTGCTGTGTTTCGTATGGTAAGTGCAGAGAACCAGAGACTCTTTTTACTGGAAACGAGACATTTCATCTTAGTCATCAGGGATGATAATGCATCTGCGTTTTGATTCTTAATCAATGTCTATGGCTCACATCATCCACTTACAATCAGGTGGGCTGTAGGCTATTTACCACTCTTATTCTATAAAAAACCCTCTCTGAAATGAAAGGCGACCTGTGCTTGCTTGAACACCATCATCATTAGTATCATTACAGTCAATCAATGTCTCCCCCAAAGAATGCCACAAAACATAGTGATAGGCCACTTCCTTACATGTCTTCCTGCATGACTTATCAGATCACCACTGCGTTTAGTGACGAAGTGCGAAAACATAAAGTCATGCTAAGTTTCTCTGCATGAAAGAATTCGAAATGAAGATATCCACAGTATAACCAGAGTAAACGAAATAGCTAGTAAGCTGAAGTGGTAATAGGTGAGCCCAACATCTGATGGGAAACATGGATTCTAGAGTGATAAAAAGTAAGGTAGTAAAGTAGCCTTGTAAAAGAAAGGTAGGGTCCCCTACTGTATGACATTTTCTAAGTTTCAAACCTAAAATATTTGATTCCATAATCGGATCTATAATCAGTAAACAAATGCTGTGTTTAAAAATACATAATTGGTAAATATGGCATTGACCTAGATATAATAATTTTGTTATTCAATTGAAAGCTAGCTAGAAATAATTATGAGGCGTTTATTAAAGAACTAATTGTGGGTAAATTAAAAAAGACTATCATTTAAATTGCAATAAAGAGATTGTAATGTTTAACTATGGAAGGCCATTAGATGTTTTAACCGTTACCGTAACAGCCAATTAAAATCCACAGCTGAACATAGACCTTCAAACACAGATAGGCTATTATATAGGGGGGATATTCACCACAGTTGCCACGCTTGGCAAGCGGTAGTTGTTTTTAATATTTAAAAGAAACAAAAAAGATGATTATTTGACTATAAAAACTATAACATCATTATATTACATTATCATACTATTACTATAACTCTACTTTGTTGAAGTTGTAAAGGTGATTGCCAAAGAGAAGGTCCCAGGTTCAAATCCAGGTCGGGTTAAAATCGGTTGTTGGGTTTTTCTGTCAAAAAATTCTCAGTGGCAGCCTGGAGTCAGGGAGTTGTAAGTGTTTCTGCACTATAATATTGAACACTGTGGTGAACCCCTCCCCCAGTTTTTTGAAACCCCTCCCATAGATGGAGTGATGACCTGATGAAATACGAAATACATACTTTGAGACTATCTATGGGGGCAAGATCAGCAGTGCAATTGTAACGGGTTGTATGATGTGAAATATCAAGAAGAATGTTGTCTTATAACTTATAATCTATATATAGCAAAAATATGGTAGATGTTAAGAATACTGTATATTTTCTTTGATTTGCACAACTCGTTACACATTTTAAATATGATATTCCAATAAAAAAACTTTTTCAATCAATCATTACAATTGAAACAAACACCTGATAAGTGGGTGCTTCAGTCCATAGACTACATCTATCCTTGATTAAGAATGAGAATTCAAATGTGTTGTCATACCTAAGGACTAAGATGGAATGCCTTGTTTCCAGTAAAAAAGGTCTCTGGTTCTCTACACTCACCACGCGAAACACAGCAGCATTAAGTTACTATTTTACCATTTGTGCCACAACCATAATATAGCTGCAGCATGGCTCTACTACATATTAGTAGCAATTCAAATAGTTCACATTAATAAACACAACCTTTTTTTATATTTAGGCATAGAATCAACAAAAGTAAGTGGGTAGAGGTCAAAATAATCGTACATGACTTTAAAAAATATGTGTCCTCGACCGTTTTCAGCTTATATAAAGATTAGTTCGGGTCATATCAAGTTATAACCAATTTTGTTTTAAAGGACAATTAATTTACAGGAAAACAAGCCATTTTAGTTATGTTTAGAATATAACTATACCGAAAAAAATATTAGCAAACTAAAGTCACTAATTTCACGTCCATACAAAATGAAAGTGTCCTATTGCGTAATGAAAATTTACATATTATAAAATAATCAATACTAGGCAATTTTTAGCAATATTATATACTGTTAAGTAAAAACTGGTGACTTAATTATTGTTTTCATTCATGTAATCGTTAATTTATTATGTCTATAATTATTTAATTACTGTTTATAATAAAATCCCAAATATCATTCCTGTGAATAACTCCAGGTAGATAACGGTGTTTTAAACGCTCCCGAAAAGAAATTCTACCATATCGCAATTATATATTATGCTAGCAACACTGTTACTCACATCTCGTGACTTTTGAGAACGCCATGTTGTCACTTCATTAAGTTTTGGTTGAAAGAGTGCGCGCACAGAAAAATTTGTCCAAAATATTCCTGTGAAAAACTAGTGAGTGAGATAAATTCTAAAGTGAATTACGCGGGTCTGGATACACAGTCTGAAATAGTGTGTTTTGGTGCTCATACAACACAGAGACATTGTTTTCAAGGTAAGATATTTGTTGTTATGACGATGCATTTTAGAGGTTATAATCCATATTTTTCCTTCCTGTGGATAACGTAACACGACTTAGGGCTAGTTCATACTGCTAATTGTTACTCACAGGATTTTATAGATTTGTGAGTAACACTTGGTAAAACGAATCAGTTTGTATAGTAAGTGCACCTGCAATCAATAACGAGTTGTTCACTTCAAACGAAAATCTCATTCATCTTCCGAACCGCTTGGTTTTGTTCGTATTTTTAACCGACTTCAAAAAAAGGAGGAATTTTAGAATTCATATTTTTTTATATATTTATATATGTATATGCATG